CCCCCCCCCTTACCGACCGTAACTCTTCCTTGTGTCGAGTCTCACCGACATTACGTCGTCTGTAATATTCGTTCCAACAAAGAAACGAGCCCGACGAACACATGTTTGCGTATTACAAAATGTTTCTCCCGCTTTTGATCTGCATTTTTGCGCGCGACTCGCGGTCGAACGTTTACGTGCGTATGCGATGCCGCTATTGGCTGAGTCGGCGCGTAATTCCTCAACTCGTTTGAGCGCGTGAACAAAAATAATAATATGTCTGTATGTATGTGTATGTGTGTGTGTGTGTGTGTGTATGTATATATGTGTGTGTATTTGTGTGTGTGTATAACGATAACATTCTATTGCTAGCGTACGATGCTCTAAGCACGCGATAACGGCACGTCGCAGTGGAACTAATTACGCGTCGTAAGGGCGCGTTGAACGAATTCTAGGGATGTCCCTTCTGTTCGCAGGATCTAAGATAGAAATATTACGCATGCGTGTTGCAATCGTCTTAGAATACATATAAACGGTAGTAACGGTAGTAATGCTAACACACACACACACGTAACATGCCCGGATCTACGGTGTACGGTTACGGTGTGTAATAACATACGTCTCGTAATGCGTTAACGGTTTACGTTGCACGCGAATAATTAACCTCAATTTGACCCGGCTCAATCGTCGGGTTAACTCTCTTAACAATATAGTAAAATATATTTGTATGTGTGTATATATGTGTGTGTATACTATTGCTTCGTCCGCTTTCTCTCTCTCTCTCTCTCTTTTCTCTCACACCCTTCCTCCTTACAATCGTTAATCTTATTAAGTGCAATCCGAGGAGAGAAGATTAAGCTAAAGAGAATTCTACGCTGCACTTTCGCGCTTCTTCTTTTGTATTTTCGTAATTTCGTTATTCTCCACGTCACAAACGTCCGTCTTCTTTAGCGTTATCGCTCGTTGTCGATCGTTAATCTTTAGTTTTACACGAGCTCTTTCTCTCCGCAAAAATTGAGCGAGACTCCACTGTGAGATCGGCATATTTAATTCCGGTGAGACGCGTGAAAAGGCGCGAGAATGACTTCTGCCGTGTGTGTATGTGTGTGTGTGTGTGTGTGTGTGCGCGAAAGTCGTCGGCCGAAATCACGTCGCGATCCTTGATCCGACTCAACGTGCGTTCAAAATGACATCGCCGGAGAAAAGGGAATAACCGATAAATGAGAGAAGTTCGTCACTGTCGTTCGTCAGAAGAGACCGGGTTCTTTGAGACGTTGAGCGTGGAGACGTTCAGCGAACGATCTTTCTTCTTCTTCCTCTTCCTCCTCCTCCTTCCTTCCTTTTTCACTGCAAAAACCGCCGCGAGATCCTCGATCGAACTCGAGTTCGCGGGACCGTTATTACCGCAATGTACCCGTGATGAGAAGTAGATTTACGTAGGAAGTGTCGATTATTTATTGTCGCTCATTTCGAAATCACGCTCGGCCGCCCGTGATCGCACGACGACACGCGCGGTTTCGAAGGGGGAAAAAACCTCGTCATCTTCGCGTGGCATCCTCTGTTGCTCTCGATCGTCGCCCTCGTCGACCGACGCGCGACAAACGCGACACGAACGTCGAGATCTTCATCGCCCTGATTTCGCCATCTCCGGGGCCGAATCGATATCACCGGTGATATATATCGGTGCACCGTTGATCGACGATGAGTATCACATCGCGAGATCGACGATCTCTACGTCTCGTATTCTTCGCGATCTCGTCCTCGAAAGCGCGGGAGTTCCTTTAATCTCAGTGTCAGAGAAGAATGCACTTCTCGCTGGTGTCGTGAGGGTGAGATCGCATCGGTTGCGAAGGGGCGAGCGACGGCGAAGCTGGCCTGCCCTCTATCGCCTGAATGCTCTTCATTAGCTCCCGAAATACCTACGGAATATTAAGCCGTTAGGACTCTGATACGGTGAAATACATGATAAAGAGCGAGGAATTAAATACAGGTAATTGGGATTAAGATGTTAGAAATAGCATAGCACGCTTTATCCCGAGGATATTCCAAATTGCCCCAGATTTCCAAATCTCATCTCCGGATGCCTCGTAGCCAATGAAATGAGTCGTAGAGCCAATTGCGCGCGATATCTTATTCAATTTATTTTGATATACTGCAGTCCTCTTTCCAATACATGAGAATACCTGTTCTTGACTTAAGACTAATTTTCCTCCGTGTATATTCCCGACATGCTGCTATGTATTTATGGAAAAGCCCGTACGTCGAAACTTAATCCCTTGATTCCTCCTAATTCCCTATACTTAATTCCTCGTTTCTTACTCCTTCCGTTATGCTTTAAACATTTGAGGAACTCCGGCTTCTTATTTATATTTCCATTCAATTTTTTTTCCTTTTACCAAAGATGATTATTTTCTCATTCTCAAGATTTCCTCTTCGATATTTCAAGCGCTTTAAGAACGACGCGAGGAGAACAGAGCGTACCTGTACAACGCGACAATTAAATCTGGCGCTGCACTCGACGTAGCCGCATCTCCAGTGCTTCCGGACGAGGTTCACGATGTCCCGGTACCTGGTCCCGGAAGCGACGGCTTGTGACAGTTCGTCCTGCTTATTGCCGACTACAAGCAGCGGCACGCCTCTCATGTCGCGCGCCTCGTAAATCTGATCGCGTAACGTCCTAATGTGCTGAAAGGATGTCACATCCGTTCGAAATGAGAAATTGACGATACTTTAATTGGCAACCGTGAAAGTCCGTCGACAAATACTCCGAATCGCGGCTTTACAGATATTTCAACTTACTTACGTATCTAAATAGGTTACTTCATACAATTAGAAATCCTTTTTTTTTTTATATATATATTTCTAAAACTGCAAATTAGGATTTTCAATTTTAAATAGAACGTTTGCCGCCTCCAAATGGCCACTCGATCATCCGTTACGTTTTATTCGTTACGCCACGATTTTTTCACATATATTCTTTACATAAGTATTGTTAATTAATCGACTCGATTACACGTTCGCTGGCTTTTCGCAAGGAAATTACATCTGAGAGTTTACTACTTTTCATCGTTCGGAGAATATATTCAGGCCATCAGGAGGTTTTGCGCGAAATTTCGATACAACTTCGAGATAAAAATCGCGACTTTCGTGATAGCGTCCTCTTGAGAAAAAAGAAAAAAAAGAAATACGAGCGACGTTAGCTCGCAAAGTTCCCGGCGGCGTTTCCGAAGTGAAGTTTCGTTTCTCACGAGTTACCCGCGTCGCAACATGTCGCATTTTAACGTGAAATCACGGCTACGTACTTGAAACGTGTCCTGATTGCTGAGATCAAACACGAGCACGTACGCCGTTGCGCTGCGCAGCCCGTAATAACGGAAGTCCGTCCATTCCAGATGCGAGCTGACCGGGAAGTACGGAATTGTCGGCAGATCGGTGATCTTCAATTCGTACAATCGATTCGCCAGTACCACGCTCGGATAGAACGTCTCCCGCCTCTCGGTCGGCCGGTATTCCTCGGAGAACTCGCTCCAGACGAATTGCTGGAAATGCGAGTGTGACAATCGTATGATCGGTACATCGATTCTCTCGGTGCTCTCTCTCTCGAAACGGACGAATGTCGTCGTTAAACGTCCTTCGCAAATACAATTATGAATGCGGTACACCGCGGAAGAATAATTCGCCGGCACGGCAAATTTTATTTCGCCGTCGCAGCAAAATCAAAGTCAGGTCATTATGTGGACGGCAAACCGATTTGTCAGGAATACTAATTGCCCCTCGCTGGATCTAATTTTGCTGAATCTAAAAATTATTTTGCAAGGTAAGAACAAATCAGTAAATGTAGGAGAACGCTATTTTGTTCTAAGCAAATTAACGCGTCCCGAGAGCAAATTCACCCAGCCAAATATTTTCTATCCTGGCAAGAAAATTGCTCTGATTGCGAGTAACTTGCTAATTTGGTTATGCCAACTAAATTTCATCGACTGTCGTAACGAATATGCAGCGACGACGATGGTTGTGCTACAACGGCAAAATTGCTTCTCCCCGTATAAAGTCGTTAGTCGGACGAGGCATTATCTTGATAGTAAATGAAAACGAGAATCCCGAAACTACTGAAAACAAAGAAAAGAAGAGAGGGAAAAGTTAGTCCGGCATTTTAGTCGGAGGCGGGAACAGCTTTCTTGAGATATTCATTATGCCTTTTAATTTCCTCGGGAGTCGATGGTCGGCGCGTCGGCGAGCGGAAACTACCGTCGGAAATGAACGGAGCGCCCGAGCGACTCGTTTCCGCGATTTGCTCCCTCTTCCTGGCTTTGAAACAAAGATTCCGACACCTTCTCCCCGGTATTGCATGTATCGCGTGCTGTACAATTTGCGTTTTCGTACACGCTATTTGCGAAGTGACGGAAGCGCTTCCGCGCTCTCTTTAAATGAATCTTTCTCTCTAGAAAGCGGCTCATGCGGAAAGTGTACTTATAATATAATATTGTGTGCGAGATGTACATAATTCTTAATTTAGATGCATCAAAACGCGAGAGGCCGGATCGTTAAATATGAAGATCGGATGTGCTCTCTGAAATCGAATCAGTGAAATGTCATTGATTGTATCAGTAGAACGGTATTTTATCGGTAACATAGATCAACGAAAAAATGTTTCAGGAAGTCGGACGGAAGAAGATAATTTAAAAGTAAAAAATCATCTCATAAATAGCAAACATGTTTGTTTGTTAAGGATGACAATTTGTAAAAAAAGCGGACGCTTTTTTCATGTTTGGCAAGATTATCGAGAACAGTTCAGTTTCTTTCCCGGAATGAAAAGTTTGTCGAAACAAAGTTTTTTTTCTTTTAAAACTATACTACGGATAAACAATCTTACTCGAATTATGCTGGTTTTTCCGACGCCGGGTGCACCGAGGAAGACGACTTTAACGCGATCTAACGTGTCCGCGGGACTGTCCTCCTCTTTCGAACCGCCTTCGGCGCCTTCGTAGGTTATTGTGTTTCCGCCTCTCCTTTCTAAATAATCGAGGTCCAGCTCTGCAGCAAGATCAGCGAGAATTGTGCAACGACGCGCGATAATATGTGACGCGTGACAACTTGTTGTTCACTGTTTGCATACACATCGCGGGATTTTTTATGTTTCGCGCGGCTCGAAGAGCCACGTCGGTTAAAAGCTACACGTAACTTAGGTAACGCGCAAACTTTCACCCTGCACAGATCTATATAAATTAAACAATTCCGCAGACGCGGGGGATATTTTGCGCGCAATTTGATGGAACTTTTAATGAAATGTCAGCGATATACGCGCGGAGATTCTGCACAGTTTGTCGGAGGAGGTGGGATACGCGGGATAAAATTTCACAAACGAAACTCATCGGTACGAATTCAATCTGAAATCTTTGTGTTCAATCGGAACGCATTCGTGCGGTGCACGAGCGCGACCAAACAGCCCGTTGCGATGGCAATTAAAATTATTTCAAATGTTCCAATCTGATAACGTAGCGCGGAACGAAGCGAAAACGTCGAAATGTTCCTTTTTTTTTCATCTCTCGCTCCCTCGCGTTCGCGGGAATTTAATTTCTAAATATAATAATAACCCCGAGCACCGACGTGAGGTGGAACGGATTAATTAATTAACCGGATATCGTAACCGAAAATCCGAAACAAATTTGAGGCAAACGCGGGAAATGAAATTCCAGGCGCTTCGGTGAAATTCTTTACACGCTCGATTTGTCCGTGTAGCCCTCAGGTATCTCTTTGATTAAGTTTACCGTCAGCCGCGAGCGCACGAACAAGTGAACTTAAATACAAAGCGTGTCTCGTTAGAGATACATTTCTCCGTTTCACGTTTGAACGCGAGACCGTCGTATCTCGCCGGGTCTAAGAGCCATTCCGCCGAGATCTTCACGTTGAAAAGTTTCCGAGACATTCGTTTCGCTTACGCTCGCGATACGTTCGTAGTCACGCTCGTCCTTCGCGCCGTGAGGGGAATATCTTATTCATGAAACGAATATTTTTGCACGTGATCCTCATTATCTATAAATCGCAATATCCTGTCTGTTGGCATTTCGACGTAAACAGCGCAATTCCCGTTTATACGCGCAGATAATTTAGTCGTGAAAAATAAAAAAATTAAACGGTGCTTCTGCCATTTTTGTGAATTACAAGAAGCAGAACATTAACGACATGTACAATGGCAACGTATAAATGGACAATATTAACCGATTCAGAACGGGCATGCTATATTTAGTAACTCGAATATTTCGAGAGCGGGTTAACATTTTTCAGCGATTAAGGTATTATATTATAACAATCGTTTTAACCAGGATTTCAGGCTGTACATTTTGATGCGTATCGTGACCCATTTGCGATTTTCGAATTTTAGGATCGCGTTCGCTTATTTTATATAGTTATCTAATAAAATTCGGAAATTCTTTCTTTGTTCATCGTCATTGCTGAGAAAAGATAAGAATTTTATTGAAAATAGAATAAGTGTTCAAAATGAGAAATTCTTTAAATCCATCGTTCTCTGTCTTCGAGCTACAACTAATTGAAAGTATCGTTGAAAAAAAAGATCGAGGCGAAAATGCTGTAATTGGTAGACCTCGATTATCTCATCTTTTACATTTGATAGCTAGACACTTTCTTTTTCATATTGAGAAAGATGAAAATCACTCAATAGGTCAGAGAAAAGGCATTGTATTACTGGAAAATGTTTGTACTACTGAATAAAGCGGACAAAAGATTGAATGCAAATAATTTAACGTCGGGTTTGTATTGTACTGATTGTTTTGAGGGATTTATCGTACAAAAACAAATTTTTACAACAATTGGTACAACAAAAGCATTATTTCGAGTAAAAACTTTTCTTTAAAAAACCTCATGCTAAAAAAGTTAATTGCCGGAATATATTTCTCGGGAATAGATGTGGTTTATATGTATTATATTTGATTTAGTGACCTATAAGAGATTTACCGAAGAGAAATTACCCGTAAGATTTGCACAAAAGTGTCGATAAATATTTTAACGAATTATATAAAGCGGAACACATCTGCGACATATGATATTTCGTCGGTGCTTCGTTAAGAATTGATCTAGAATAATCAATGGTGCGCACAATAAAACCGCGTGCAGTTCCAGTCAATTAAGCGAGATTTTATTCGGTCCTCTCGATTTGAAAATAATGCTTCACTTCGTGCCGTTATCATCAATGAGAGCATCGTGCGACGGGCGTGTTTCACGACGAGAATCTATTTCCCACTCATGATCGAATAATTAAAAACCAAACGTGCCGGAATTAAAAGGAGATTGAGTGCGCTTACATAATACAGCGTATCTTATGTCGCTAAATGAATGGAACCTAAAATGAGAGAGCGGTGATTAATTATGCCGATTAATGGTCCGAAAAGTTTCTCGCTTCGCGGTATAAGAGAGTCAAGGTCGAATAAAACGAATGCGTTACAATTAAGGGGTTGCCACAACGTCGTTGACGAACTTGATAAGCGTCGATAACGTAGAAGCGAGCCTCAAAATGTTACGTCACATAAACACTGACACGATCATATATTTTTTATACATACATATCTTACGTAAATATGAGTGTTATACAAATGCGAATACGATGAATGTGCGATACTCTGTTTCACCATATCTAACAGAAAATCTTACCAAGATGTGAAAATTTTTCGCAGTAAAATCTTTTTACGCCCCTAAATTGGATTGAAAAAGGTATAAAGACGTTCTTTGAAATTTTCTTGATTAGACCGTTGACATTCGGCACGTTTACAAAATTCCTGTATCAGGTAAATATTTACGCTGACAGCTAGAAATATCAATCTTGAAATTTTTAATCGTGCTTTTTCGTCACATATCGAATAACGTTCCGATTCATCTTCGCGCGTACTTTCCGTGTAAAAGTATTTCTAATTCCAATGCGACCAATGAAACGTAAATTTTGCAGAAAGAAAAATCAGCATTCGCTCGGTAAAGCTTTCAAGTGTGGCATCCCCTTAATAATATACAAAAAAATTTGACAGGAAGAAGCGTGTAGAAAATCAAAACATCTTACATGCTTCTACAGTGACAGCGAACGCTATTTATGTCGCGGGACACATCTCGTGCACGGACAAGTGAATCTCGTTTACCCAAAAGTCGTTTATTCGCGTGTAAAATCGATTTGGACGATCCGTCGCCGTCTTTCGTCGTGCGATCCATGGAATTTAATTGTGGGCGAAAATCTGTCGATCGCGCGGCGAATCACGAATCGTCGTTCGCATCGCACCTATATCGCCTCGCTCTCTGACAACCTTCGCGGTCGAAGTTCGCCGATCGACTGGCGAGAAACTCCGGGATACTGTCCTTTATAACCCCGGGATCAACGACCATATATATACAACGAGCCGGGGTCTCGATTATTGTCGGATACAGCGTTTCAAGAATTTCATCTCCTCTCGATCACGGCTGTCAAATTGCATTGGGGCTAAATGCGTCCCCGGCTGGTGTGACTTGATTATAATTATGATGTCGCACGCCGATCGTAGCCCAGCGTCAGTACGATCGTACTTTCACTCAATCGATTGTGCAAATAACATAAAGCAAAGCTTTTCTTTCTATCGTGAGATGCCGAAGTATCGACGGCGGGGGAGGGGAGGAGGGGACGTGTCGAATTATTAGACGATCATTTTCGTAGCATTTGGATCGAACAGCTTCTGAAGCAACATGTGAAGTTATGGGTTGAGATACGTGGTGATGATGATGGGGGTCATCGCGTTGACGTATTAAGTGGATTAGGTAAACACAGTGCTATTGCACGATAATTCTAAAGGTACCTCATCATTGATATTATTTCATTAACGGGGCACGTGTGACGTGGATGTTTTAGCGCCGTGCAGTTGTGCGCGTGGCTTTTAGCGAAACTTTAATAGAGCTTTTAATTAATTTCAGCTCGTGATGAGACGCGTATACGTGATCGAGTAATTGATGTTTTCGTTATGCGGAAGCGCGTAGGATGCAATTAAACTTTCGAGTAATGAGAAACGAACGTGATAGCGATATATCTCCCTCCGATTGATGGGACTTTTTTCTAATTTCGTAGGGAGACAGAGACTCTACAAAAAAATTGCATGCTGTATATCGAGCCAATAACAATAAGTTCAATAATTTTCAAAATAGCACACGAATTTGTAAAATTTCTGGATGCAATTTATGCAAAATGAATCACGATATTAAGGTTGTGTCGTGGAAAACGAATGAAAATAATGAAAGATAAGCAAACGTAATGTGAGTGTGTGTGTGTGTGTGTAGAGTCGGCGTCATATATATTATACCACGTTTTCTAGATTGAAACTTTTTAATATTATACAATTTTTAGCCTTTCACACACGAAAAAAGAAGTAATTTCCACAACTAAATATAATACAACTAAAAACTAGCTCTTACAAATTTAGTTAATTTAGCTAAATTCGTTCCTGTATCTACTTTTTAGCTGCCACAACTAAAAACTAGATCTAGCAACTAAATTTCAGTTGTATTGTATAGCTAATTCCTTTTTTTCGCGCGTATATACACATAAGGTTGAAATTATCATAATTAAAACCCCATTATAACCCCATATAGCCCAATTAATTTTATACACGTTCTTTAAACGTATGTAATACGACTATGAAACGTTACACATACGTTTAAAATACGTATATGAAACTAACGTGTGCCACCTGGGAGCTCTACCGTTACAATTAAAGTTACTCTTGCGATTCTCACCCTTATGCGCGTTATGTGTAAAGCTGAAAATTGCGTAATTCCCCGTCTAGGAAATTGTACAGTACACATCACGCTGACTGTACATATGCGCGTGTTCTATATATCTTTTTAATTCAAATATAAGAGAGAAAGAGGGGGGAAGGAGAGGAGAGATTATTTTCTTTTCTTTGAACTTTCGGTGTGACGAGCGAGATGTGTGATATTACGCGAGGAGTCACGGACGGATACTTACGATATTGCTTATGCGGCGGGAGGCTTCGCCTCCTCCAGCCGCTCGCAGTTTTTGTACCTATGGTTATCGGTGATTCGCAAAAAGATTCCCGCAAGTCGCGCCGCGCCAGTTCCCGTTAGCCTCGGCACGATTTCGTCGTTCGATCGCCCCCTCCCCCTCCCCCGGCCACTCCGTGGCGTAATTCCGACGGATTTGGTTCTTCTCGAATCTGCCAATAACGCCGCCAATAGATTTCGCTCTCTATGCGGCCGTGTATCCTCTCCTTTAACATTCCCTCTGTATCTCTCGTGACACGTTCGTGTGTTACGCGACCGAATAGCGAAATTCTGAGCACATACGATTCCGCCTCCGTCGTATCCTCTTCATTTACAACGTTCGCGGGTGGCGCCTTTCCCCGGTCGCGGTCTGTTACCTTACAGTTCGTTGCATCTCACAGTTATGTAACATCGTTGCATCTCTCTCGCGTGTTACTCGCGATTCCTGCCGACCGCATCTGATCGAGCCGTCTCATCACACACGTGACACCCCCGACGCCCTCGACGAATATTATTACTATATAACGGGTTAACGAACTCCTTCGTCGAATCGGGGATCCGCCAGGTGTGTTCAATTTTCGACGCTGGTGAGATGCACCTCGCGATCCGTCCGCTCGGTCGTCGTCGTCGTCGCGAAGCAACAGCGATCGCTTTGGCGAGTCAACGACATCGAGATCGGAGCCTGCCGAACCCAATAAATATCACGCTCACGAATACCCTTGATGTCACCGAAGGTCGACATTCCAGGTCACATCTCGGCCTTGTCCTCTGTGACTCGGCGATAGACAGATATTGATTGACGCGCGATCAATGCGACTTGTTTGCGATCGCTCTTCTTCCTCCTTCGATCTCGGGATCTTCTTTCCTCCCCCCGAGGATCGACGATTGCGCACGCCTGGCCCCCGCCCAACCCCCTCGTCACACTCGCAGACACACACGATCACCCGTACGTATTTCAGGAGGACACACGCCTCTCTTCCGTCGCTTTAATTATCGTTTTCTCCGGAACATCACAGACATACACGCACTCGGCGACGACGACGACGACGTAGACAGCGCAAAGTAGTTATGGTCGCGACGCGTCGGACGCGGTGTACGCGCCAGTATTGCTCTTCGTATTGCTATTCGTAGGGGCCGTCGAGCGCGACGATCATCGCCAACACGACCGTCGTAGCTGACAACCGTTCGTGAAATCTCGCGAACTCGATGTCGGCTTCCCCCAAGTCTGTCCTCGATGGAGCGACGATCCGTCTCGGTGCATCCTCGGTGCGCCACATACTCCGCGCTGTCACAGTATCACCCCACAGTGGACCACCGGAGATCTTTCCGGATGTCGAGATCGACCGAGAGACAAAGAGAGAGAGAGAGAGAGGACGAACGGAGGTCTCGATTCTTCGCGGAAAACCGGCGGGCGCACCTCCGTCGCGGGCGCACCTCCGTCACGAGAGCACCACGACGACGCGAGATCCCGGTACAGGCAGCATCGCGAGCACGCACGAGGCAGAGACGTCGTCGGGCAGCACGGTCACCCCCGGACGATCGAAACTACCCCTCGGCGCTCGACTTGCGCCTGCGTGCTCGTCGAAGCCTCGGCCGCGCCAATTTCTCGCTCGTGCTTCGCCAAATACTCTCGTTTCTTTCTCTTTTACGAATGCCCGCTGAAAGTTACGGCCGACCGACCGGTACGGAGCCTTGTAACTCCGTTAGCGATTTCATTAATGTCGATATCAACGGATGGACGAGTCGGAGAGGCACAACGGTGAGCGCAGTCGCGAAAGCACCGCTTCTCGTTTCTTGTTTCATGTACCTGACTTTTATCTCGGGGCTTCATTTTATCGAATCGGATTTTTATTAATAGGCTGAGACGTGAGACACACAGGGACGCGGTTGCGTGAGCGAAGGAGGGTGGATTTTTCTTCATCAGGAGTCGACCATCGACTCATGACGAAAGCAACAGAATATGATCCCGCTTTATTCACATGGCCTCATTCGTGTCGATCTCACGCATGCGTTTGTCTCCGATTTTTCCGTTTCCTCGAGCAATTGCTTCCGTTCGTTCGTGAATCAAACTTGTACGAAAGACCGTTTGCAAAACATGTTATATATATATAATATATATAATATAATATATGTGTAATATTTATGTAACATATAAATAAATAAATAAATAAATATATATATATATATATATATCCCGGCGGTTATTGGTAGTTTGTCGGATTTTGTAAGATGCGATTTTGCAATGCGGAATAAATCAATTTCGCGATCATTGCAGCGAACCTCGAGCGCTTCAAGACGTCTCCGCTGTAATTTTAATTTTGTGTATATAGAGCGCCCAATAGGTGATGTTTGTCAGTTTCTATTTTTATCTATATCATTTCTTTCTTTTTTTGTCGTTCCTCATACATAAGCATTGTGTAATTATATTAAGGGAATGAATTCCCGTGAGTAAAAATAAAGTTTAATAATAATTCTAATCGGGAGATTTTGGACGACGCATGACGAAAGTGGAAATTCCTCCTGGACACATCGAGAGAAAAATCCATATGATCTTTTATATATCAAGATTTTATTAAATAAATATAGTACAGCTTTACACAGAGAAAAACTATTTGATAATACTGTGACTTTTATATCGGTTAAATTTGATCGTAATTAATATGCACATACGTTAATTGTACACGTTCAATTAAAGTCGAAGTAGATCGACCACCGATATCGTCAGACCATCTTGGCCGTATCCGTTTAGGCGACGTCGCGCCCAACGCATCGCTAATATATCCCGAGACAGAGAATATCACGCGTCGCCTCGTGAAACGATATCCGCGTCGATATAATATAGGTATAATAATAATATCTATGTAATATAATGAGCAGCCATGCACGTGCGAACATCCTCTGTTGGACACTTCATATAAGTGACAAAATTAAATACTACCAGAGACACCGAGAGATATTACGAAATATAAAAAACGAGGTACATTAGGTATACGTATTGCCCACCCACGTGGTTTTACGTGTAATGAAAATATATGTCTTACTCTATACAGGATGTCCCATCATTGTCGCGACACCCGTGAACAACAGATTCCTGAGGACACTTTGAGATGAAAATACACACAAAGCGTAAAGATCTTACATAACGTCGGCGCAAATACAGCATCGAAGCTGTCACATAAAGTCTTAAATAGATAACGTTTCACTGTGATAATGGTGGCTCTAATTAATATCAATCGGCAAATTACTTCTTCGTCTCTATGTATAATAACTTTATACATAATAACTAATAACAACAAGAACAATAATAATATTAGCAGTAAGAATATTTTACTAATAATATAAAGTAAGTTCGTGCTTTCTAAGTGGCAAATGAGATTTTCATACTATCATTGTTATTAGTACGAGCTTCAACAGGTTAATTATCCACACGTGAATAAACCAAAGATAAAGAGAAATGTTGATAAATACTATCCAAAATTCGCAACCCATGCAACCTGTGTGTCCAAAGGATGTCTCAAAGATGCCTTTATGACCCCTTAGGGTACTTTAATGTTCTCTGGGTATTTTTGACAGCCCGATCAGTCATCTTTAAACTCTTCCCATTTAATAGTTGTCGACAGCCTCCCGACATTTCACATTAGAATTTTCGTTTTCAAATGTCCCCAGCGATCTGCCGTTCACGAATGTCACGACAGCGGCGGGACGTCCTGTATTCATCGTATATAGATCCAAGTTTTATATATTTCGCATAATTGTACCATATAGTAATTGACGTACCGCGCGAATCAAATTCGTTCCGTCGCAACGCGCTCATCGTCGAGCGGGGCGAGCGAAACGTTTTCCCCTCTCCCTCCTCATTACGATCGATTAAGGCAACGAACGGTTTTATTTTCCTCCCCTCCGCCCTTCCCCTCCGCGATGGACGTATCTCTCCTTAATCGGTTACGTGTTCGACCGACGAATTCCTGCTTAACCCTCCCGCAGGCGTGCGATAAGAAACAAAGTCAATGGATTGTTTAACGTGATATCGTGTGCGCCTATTCCCCATCGGAGGGTTAAGTGCGACATAATAGAAATACGGAGATCAATAAATCGTTGTACTATGTGTGTGTGTGTGTGTGTGTGTATGCGGAACGTATTTTCTACGATAACTCGTGAAGGGCTAAGATTGTTGCCATTAATAATAATAATAATAATAATAATAAGAGGCTGCTAGAGACGAAAAAAAGGTAATTCAGAAAATTAATTAATTCGCGTTTGCTTGTTGAAACAGCAAAATTAAAATTGTTGCCGGCATTATCTAACGAATTTAACCGATCCTCGCCCGATCTAACTCGCAATCGAACGCGGAGAGTTTTGATAAAAATTAGCGGTGATTTGTTTCTTCTCTTATATGATAGTCGGTTAACAATGAAAGTTACAAAAGCGTTGCGTATACGACGTTAAAGCGTGCCACTTGCACAGAATTCAACATTATCGTTCAGAGCGCATTACCGTATTACAAAAAATATAATCACTTTATTTACATGTTATTCGAGCGCTTAATTTACGTTAATATACACGCGCTGCTTCATCTGGCCCCGGAAACTCCCGAGTCTCGAGAGTCGAGTCTCGATTCTCCGAATCACGTAGTCAAATCGTAAACGATTTTCGAAATACACGGTGATCGAGAGTGTCGTAACGCGAGATTATCAAACAATGCTGTAAACAGACATAGTAATTCTTCGTATGTTATAATACGTGGTCCATTGCCGATCATACGACGCGTGGACAGTCGGTACAAGCCGCCACGATGAACACTACGTGAACGATATTAGCGTATATCTTCCCCAAGCATTGCAGCTTACGTCAAATTAATATGTGTGAAAATGAAATGTCGCGACTGGTGCTTACGTTATTCCTTTCACTGACATTACAAACGCACAGGCGTGAAGTCGAAGATCACACGGAGCTACCCGTTAGAACTGCCATTTCGAGCATTAATAGGCAAACCTCGACTTTCGTTGCTACTCTCGTTGAGATTGAGCGATAATAAAAGTAACGGTGTTTTCAACGTCACGTTGAGCATCATCATTTGAAGTAAAAATGCGAAAAGTTCCCTCTTGCCCCTGACATGAATGACATATTTATTCTGTTAAAACAATGGTTTGGCTTTCGTTTGCTGTCCGAAGATGCGTGTAGCTTCTTATGATCTTCCACTCCATCGAGCTCGCCGAATAAATTACTATGCGCCAATAAAGATGCGGGACAGCTCCGGCGGGAGTCCTCCTCGGTACGGATGTTTGGTCCCTCGTAAAAATTGTCTTACAAAATATAGTCTCGCGCAATCGTGCGCAATACGAGACGCTGCGCTTGCATTTGGGACACGCAGAGCCACGTGTTCACTTCAGTTGTACCAGCACCATGAAGTAGGTCACCACGGCTCCCAGTACCTACGAAGTGTTTGTTAATCGTATCATTCGAAGTTCTCCGGGTGAAGCTCAGTGTGTGTACAAGTGGTAAATATTTATCGTCGTGAATGCCCAATGATACGTAGGAGGGAATAACGAGTGTGAGTAACGAAAGAAGTAAAAGGACGCAAGTTTTACCGAAGCGAAGAGATCCAAGGATACTGTGAAGAATTTCGCCCCCGATATAGACATCGCTTTCTGACACTGCTGACACACAATTTGCACGAACGTCTTGGCTTCCTCCGATCCATCGTACCAATGGCAAGAATAAGCTGCTTCCATCACCGATGTACTCTGAAGCAAATACGCGGATTTTAATTACTTAAGTCGAGCGAGCCTTACAAATCTGACGATTAAGTCTCTGAATTCGCGACGTCGCGCGCATTCTGTAAGATGTTAGGTGTGTAAATTAGTCCGGTGCTTTCGTCACCAAAGATCTAAATTCGCTTGGAAGATGTGCAATTTCAATCATCGAAATAATCTCCGCCATTACCGATGATCCTACATCGTCTGCGCGGTATTTTATAAATATATATGGCAGCTTTTGAAAACTATAATTGAATAAAAAACAAATGTCGACTTAAGATACTCATTTGAAATAGGTAAGACCAAATTAATTTATGCGCCTAGTAAAAGAAATATCCCTTTTCTCATCGTATCTATGATGTATTCATCTAACATTCAATTTCCGTATATTTTTCGTTGCAATGTTAAAAATTCATCTTCTTTGCCAACAATAAAAGAATACAAAAGAAGAAAGAAAGTTATTTTTTCGATACGTTTTATACATACCTCTTCTATCAGACGGTTCCCAAATATGCAGAACAGAAAGACTTGGCCGAAGGTGTACAATATGTAGCTGATAGTGGAGGCCGCGTAGACGTTTACACCGTTCACCTGTAGCATTTAAGATACTCGTACATATTAGTATAAATTCTTAATTCCTCATATGTTCACATTAAACCGTCGCTCTGAATGTCCGGCTTTACTAATTTATACGATCGATAATAGTCGTTCGGCGAGAGAACCTTGAGAAAGAAAACTCACTTTTGTTGCTTGGTAGGCGAGCAGCGTCAATGTGATGGTCGTTGTCAGCATATGGAGCAAAAGAGCGAAACCGTACGCGTCTCCAACCGCGGTGACCAATCTGTATGCAGAATAATAATAATTATCGTTCGATTCTGAATCGATGGGTCACACCGAGAGATCACCACGACTGCGACGACGCGGGCGACCGTCTCGATGAGGGCGACTTCCGTCCCGCTCCTGTCGACAGGCGGCGCATGAAAGTTACATTCGTACGATACACGTTCCTTCCGCGTGCATAGCCGAGCGTCGCGTTTAATTTTCATATTAAAGTAAATGGCTAAAATTAAGCCTGCGCTAAAGGGGAGGAGCGTTCGCTTCCGTTTCACTACGTGTTCATCCTATTTATTACGCGCCTATCCTATTTCACGAGCGAGTTTAAACGCCGCTCCCTCTAAGTGAATAATCGATACGACGATAACGCCTTGAAGGAAACGGTCTATAACGCGCGAGTCAAGTCGGCGAAATACCCGTCGCTTCCGCTTTCCGCGGTCATTCGTTATTCCACTGATCTCGGGAATCGCCCGGGATCCCGGATCGAGCGTTTCGCTGCGTAGGGCGCTAGCTTCGCAGAAGCCTCGTCCCCTTAGACCACTTAGTTTTGCCGTAGGACATGACCTCCGTCGCGGTCAATATCTTTTGCTTCTGATGCCGCGAGAACTGATGACACCGACGAGGCCTTGCTGTTTGGACGATACGTTATACTCGAAATTAACATCTCGGCACAAGTGATCCTCTTGATTGGTATTCACAGATTAAATTGCATTTGACGCATTGTTGAAGAAGGATAATTAAGAAAAAAAAGAAGAATTTTTAATTTCAGTAACAGCGTGTGTATGGATTGACTCACGAAGTGAGCACGTAACCGGTGAGCAAGTTTTTTTCTGACGAGTCGGAAAATTCTGCTTACTAAAGTTACACTGAAAGAAAAGGTGCTATCTAAGTGATATAAGATGATATTTACTTGATCCGAGTAAAATCATTACTCCGATACTCCGTGGCGAATATTCAATAGAAGTGGAAATGCAACCGACTATATGACGTACTTCCTTAGATAGACATTTAAGAAATCCGAGTCAAACGAACACACATGCTAAATCCAAAGAAACCTTTTCCTCTGTTTACATGCGTTAAAACAATTCCGAGTATTAAATTCATAATATTGAAGATACCCAAATTTCTTTTCGGTAAGTAATTTACTGGACAGAAAAATCGATATTTAAAACCACTAGGTCTCTTCAATAGGTAAAAATGAAATATTACATAATTCTAGTAAATATTCTCTGAAATTTACACCTACATTCGGTGATACATTTTTACAAATTAAGGTATCAATTGCAATACTTTAAATAAACGTTCGCTACGAATTATTAAAATATAATAAAACTTTTACTTGATTCTAGCACTTTTTGCTTGCACATCAATTGTGAAGCTCGACGAGCGACGCGAAATACCGCCCAAAGGGGTGCGAAACGCGGGCGAAAATCTGTCGTCGCGCTCTGTGCACGTGAACCACGTGTGCGCACACACGGGCGCTATGCACGTGAACGGTCGGCGAATATGTCCCCCATGAATCGCTCAGACCGTACAACACGACCCCCGTTGCGGTCAATATCGCGCTTTCTTAGAATAAATACTTCACCACCGTGGGAACGCGCGCATCCCCGTGCCAGCCGACGAGTAGCTTCGGCGCCCTCCGCCCTCCCTTCCTCCCCCCTCCCCCGACGAACCTACAGGAACGACATCCGTTCGCGCCGTTCTCGACTTCTTTCTTGGAGGAGCGATCGCTCGCCCCGGTCGCGCGAACGAAAGCTCGCGTGAGGCTTCGCGACGCGCGTTAAAATTTCATAGCGAGAAAGAAAACGCTTCTTCTTCCCGTTTTCGTGAAGCACGCGCGATGATAGTCCTGCGCGTAGTTCGCTGACTGCAAATACTGAAGAGAGCCGAGAAAATCGCCGCCGCCTGTCGTGTCATTCTAAGTTTCTCCTCGGGAAACACGTCGGAATTTCAAATACATTAATGCTTGGGATTTCCCGTTATAATCGGCGCGATCGTTTCTCGCTTGGCTTTCCCTCCCGCGAACCTCCGCTCGTCTAGCTCGACGTAAACTTTGCAAAAGACTAATTAGAGATAACGTAATCGCTATTACCATATATCATCGATTAAACCGTTTTTATGAATACACTATTATTGTCTCGTTTGATCAGTTATTTGCTAGGAGGGGGGATGACTCGTGTGAATCCTGAAATACTCCTCTCGGAGACCTCAGGTGTACCTCAGGTGTATCTCACACGCGAGTGTCAGTTCTACCACCGGTAGAATCGCAGGTGACCTCCGTTCGACGCGTCAGTTAACTTCCGGAAAAGCACCGGCGCGAATATCAAGATTATCATAAACCGCGGTGCAACGTGTGTCGTTATGATCATTTCGTTCTACGCGCTCAAATCGTAAACTGATATACTTTCATTGATTGGAAACTCGCTCCCGTCGTTACGCAACGCGAGTCGAAATTTTCGTTCTACGGTCAAAGTCTACCAAGTCTTTCACTATCGTGCTTTTTTGACGCTACAAATAGGAAGTTATTGTTGTTTCGTCCATTCGGAGACTTAACGATTAATGCGAGACTAAAATTCAGACACTGAAAGAGTACAATAAGTGCTTCTTTAATGCTACATGTGGCAATTTATCTCCGTTTGTTCTCTATTTAAAGATACAATAGTAGGATTTAAAATCTCGTCTCGGAAAAATGCCTATGATCCGTTCTCTGCCCTTTTGTCGGACCGCAAAGATATCGCACCGGTGGAAAAACAATGTCGGACACCGAGACATTTGTAAATATTGCAGAAGCAGCCGCGAGATACTCTCCGCTGCGACGCGACTTCTCGATAATCGAGAGTGCAGTCAGCGCTCGACGTAGACTATATACTAAATACTTGCACGTCTCTCACCTTTTCTCTTTCTCTCTCTCTTTCTCGGACATGCAAGTTGTAGGAGGATTCTGGGTCACTAGTTCACCCGCAAGATGCGGACAACTTTTGAAGAAATGATCCGTTCGACATACAACAGCGCACACGAGCGCATGAATTAATTAAACTCGTCTCTGACGAGGAAGTGGAACAGAGAGGCAATTTGCCACGGCGGATCTCTCTCATCACGGCGCCCGCTATACTGAATCTTTTATCTCGCGGTCTTGACACTTTTAACTCGCATTCCCGGGGAAAACTATCACGTGCGATCGACAAACGTGTCACGCTTAACGTGTGCCTCTCCTGACGAGATCAATCGGATGACTCACCTGACGATGTGCTTGTGTCTCTCCACCCAATACTTGATGGCGCTCCTCACGAGCGCTTCCTGCTTCTTCGTTAACCCGTTCGGCCCTACACCGCCGTTGAAGGTCATACCGGCTGTCGGCCGGAAGGTCGCGGTGAAATCTTGCCGATTACTGTATATGTTGCGAAGATCGAGATCCAGCATGCTGTCGCCTTGAGGCGGCACCGGTGGCGGAGGCTGATTCTCCGACTCGCGGAGATGATCCGCGCTGCCAGCCTGTACAAAGAAAAAGGGAAAGTCGCTCGCACACGTGGGAGGTGGCCACGGGCCCTGATCTTCCGATCTGGGTGTTTTGGACATTTAAAAATGTATAAATATTTCAAGCAACCAAACGACCGTTTACTCATTCGCGTTGATTCATCGTCGTTCGTTGAACAAATTACTTGAACTTAGAACGAAATTCGAGTTGCGAGAAATTCATTGGCGATTCACAAATAATGCATAATATTTGCGCCGTCCTTTTCTTCTCGAGAGACAATCTTGTGATATTTTATATATGGTGTATATTATATGTGTGATATATGTGAAAATGAAAATATATCGCGGGAAACATATAATTTCACGATAACGTATCTTTCGCGTAAATTCATTTCAAAATGCGCACATGTGCTTTCTTTATTCGCTGCGTGTCCGTAAATGGTGGAAACTCGCGGGACATACCTTGAAAAGTTCACTACTATTCGGGACCACGGTGTCCAGAGTCGCGCTTAACTCCATGAGGGGCTTCATTATCTGCTTCAGGTGCTGCAGCTGTTCGCAAGCGAACAGTAGCCAAGAGCAGAAGAGTACGTCCATGGAGTTCGCGTCGACAAGCATGAATAGTACCCAATAGAATTGGTATGCGAGGATCAGCACGTGCGCTATCCCCTTGCTGGCGTCGAACGGATAGAATGAACGGAGCAAGAGTTGCGGCAACTGGATTCAAGACAAGAAGTTTGGGACAATAATCTCATCGTGCAATCTAATTTCGTGAATTCGGAAGAGACATCCGGCGAGAAGATATTTCAATTATAACATCAAAATCGATATTTTGCGCACTACGCACTACGCATTTTGTAAGTAATGTGTAATTCGAAAGTGAAAGCGTTCAACGTAAAAGATTTCGCCCGATCGTCCTCCCTTGAATTAAATCAATTTTGTGAATATTCGTCTTATCGGAGGGAATTTACGTCCTTTTTATATATAGTTAAAAGAAAATTACCTTTTCAATTTTTGCTTGGAAAGAAACCAAAAAAAAAGAACGGCAGGAAAATTAAAAAAAAACCCGAATTTTACCCAAGCCTTTAAAAACATAATTTTTCGTTTCACCAATTGTGTAGTTAATATCGTTACCTCGATGACCGTCGTCTCGTTCGTGACCGGATCTACAATTTTCCTGATAGGGTGCTCGAAGAAAGTGAGCACGGTCCAAGCTACCGCGCTGAGCACGGTGGTAGCGCCGACTAAGAAGAGCAACAATCGCATCTTCTTCAAGGCGATCGCGTGATATCGGGCGTTGCTCTCGGCGAAGAGCGGATGGGTATTCGGATTGTTCCATATCGCCCACGTTCTGTAGAAATACTTGCTCCTCACGGCGAAGTAGACGATTTTGACGATGCTGTGCGTGAAGAAGAGGAGGGTGATCGTGTTGGCCGTGAGGTCGTCGACGTCGGCGCTCTCGATTATCAAATTCACCGCGCACAGAGCGAATTGCAGTAGCAGCAGGAACAAATTCACCTACGAAGAACAGTTTACACGATGCGTCGAGGAACGTTGTCTACAAGATTCATTTCGCAGAAAAAAAGGAATAAAGTCTACTTCTTCAGAAATAAGTCGTTTGTTTCTATAAAATAAAGTTGATTTCCGTGAAATATCCCGCGAACGAATTTTTCAGAGAATTTCTCTCCTCAAGTGCAAGGATGCTGGGTTGACAACGAGAGATTTTAACGCTTGCGGTGTGACACCGATCATCGGGAAGTGAAAAATCTAAGATTTCCGATCTAAGATCCGAACGGTTCCGAGAGAATTTGAAGAGTTCCAGCTTCGATTTCTTCGTAGAAAAATTAGAATTGAACTTTCGGTTAGTTCGAGCAGAATAATCGTAAACACACGATACGACGTCGGTTACTTACGCAGCAGTATATCTTATGCAAGTACTTGGACGAATTATCGTCGTAATAATTGAATACGAAGTGCCCGAAGATCTTCATGATCCTTATGTTGGGCATGAGGTCGGCCACCAGGCCTTGCTGCTGCTTCATCTTCAGCATCTGCGAAGCGAAAAACGGAAACAGGCGTGGTTAGCGTGATCATGCGTCTGAGATCGTCGGCGTTGGAGATTCGCCGGACTTGACGATTCGCGACCGATTGATCATTATCGCGCACAATACACACTCCGACCCGCATTCTCCGACCGCAAGGACGCCACGCGTACACGAAGTGGTGCGAATTAAGCTTCCGGAAGCATGCGACTACTCTCCCTTCTCCGCGTTGAGCGTACGTAACGACGATTCCAACATTACGAGTCACAAACAGCACAAAACGTCTAAGACCCTCCCCCTCCGCGCTCTCCGTGCTCCAAACATTCCAAACCGTCGTCGTTCCTTGCCAGAGAATGGCAACGTCCGTAGGACTCCCCGGTGTTTCAGACGTCCTTTGGAATTACTGGACAACGCGAGGACGGGTTTCGAAACGGACGTCCGAAACGCCTCTTTCGGACTCCCAGACGGTCCTCCGAGCCGCCCTACTTCGTGCGATCGCTGTGGAAGCGAAGTATCTTACCTTGGCTTCGCTGGTTTATCCGAGATCCACGGGTGAAGAAGTTGAAGTCGGGTTGGTCCGGGAAGGGGGAGGGGGGACTTAGGACGACGCGGCGGAGGACTTGAGCGCCTCGCGATTACGCTGGAGCAATCGTGCCAGATATATGAGAAGAACGAAGAAAAGCAAGCTGACTAGCCGGCCTGCCATCAGTCGTTGTTTTTAGCGATTCGCCTTCGCCGTCGTGAAGAGTCCGCTCGTCCGTCCGTCGTCCGGGGCCGCAGGTAACTCGTGTACCCTCTACTCCTGCCTGTGCCCTTCTCACGCTCCCTTCTCTCAAGCCCCGGCTATGACCTGACCGCCACCACCACCTGCCGAGGAACCCCTTCCGAGCGGGGTAGGTACCAAACGTGGACCAATCGGGTCCCGGTAACCAGGCGCAGACGTTTCGTCGCGCTGCGCCTCCGCGACGTTCCTCCGCGACGCCATGCTGCAGGCCTCTTGCCTCGAGCCGAGCCGGTGTACACGACGAGGGGGACTATAGTCTTCTTCAATTATTCAGACCGCCGCCGCTACGCTCCGTGCTCCGAGGCGGCAGTTTTCAACGTTGGAAGAAAGTTTCAACGAAGAAAACAGTCTGAAGTTCGAAGATGCCGTAGAGCCCCGGAGGGGGAGGGGGCTTAGCAACTGGCGAAGAAACCGAAGCTATCCCGTCCACCGTCGCCCCATCCGTGTCCACCCTCCTTAAATCATCCCCCTCCCTACCTCTCTCTTCGCGACACCCGCGAATACCGCGATCGAGAGTCGGGATCGTGGCTCTTGCGTGTTTAACTTTAGGTAGTAATTCCGACAAGAGCACGCGGAAAGGATTAGTCTTAAATCAATGGCGGGTATTCTCATATACAGGGTGTTCATTAAGCACCCGGCTATACTCAAGGGACGATTCTTTCTTTGGTTTATTTCAAGTTGGAGGAAGTTCGTATAAACATGCGTCCTAAGCGGCTTAGTTTCCGAAAACTGCAATACCCTCTATTTCGGAAACCGAGCCGTTTGAGACTCATATTTGTGTGGACTTTTTCACTTGAAGTAAACCAAAGAATCGCTTCCTTGAGTATGGCCGGGTATTTAAGGAACATTCTGTATAAGCAAAAATATTATAATCTCCTTAGAAAATTCTTAGTCTTGATTTGATTGAATAATTGATATCAATGCAAGTGCTTACTTGCGCCTGATTCAAGACTAAAAATTTTCCATGAATATTATAATGTTCTTACTTATATACGAAAATATCTGTCATCGATTTCAGACTATTTTTTCTGTGCGCGCTGCTTCGGATGGGAAGAAACCTTTGATCCAATTGAACATACATGAATAACGTTTACAAATTTGCATTTTGCTCACAATACGCTGCGTCTATTTTCCTCGGAATACATAGATTGGTTGTACGTTCGTAATCTGCGAATAAAATTTCATGATACAGATCTAACCTTTGTTCATTCCACTTTCGTGTGCAGTGCGCGTCCCAGGGCGCCATGAAGTTTCAGTTTTACGAGACCGATTCTTGGTATGAGGGGGGGGGGGGACGGGAAGTCGCGAAATTTTTCCCGAGAGAAGATTTTACGGGAAGATTGTTAGGTCGTAACGTTTTAGCGCACATTTTGAGAATACAAATTTCCCGCGCAGGCGAGCTACGATTCGCGGGCGCGTCGTCGCCATGAGTCCCACGTCGTATTGGTCGATGAAAATAAATGATTCGTACGTAAGGTGTGCATACGAATGCATATGAGACGAATGACGTAAAACAAATAGCGTAAATCGGTTGACCGTAGTTCACCGCCGGGTGACCTATGTAAGTCTCAACGGTTAAATATGTCACGTATCGACTTGAAACGAGGGTCGCGCGCAGCGACTTACGGACATGGATCGCATATAGTAACGAATCCTTCATTATTTAGGGCGACAATCCTTATGCCAATAGCACAATATAATGCCGGTATACAGGCAGGACCGCTCGCTAATGATATTTACTACTAGCTAAACGCCGGCTAATGTAGCCTTAACTTGACTGCGAGACGGTGAAATTTAGGTCAGCCGTATTTCCACGTTTGAGGCAATGGTCTGACTAATTGACGGATAATTATGCGGAATAATAATCGAGCGATAATCTATAGCGATAATTTCTCGATGGTTGTTGCCGTTTAGAGAAGGACATTATCTTACATTTCTTCGTGTGTGTTTGAACTCTCATCGGAAGAACGAACAATCTTTTAATCGGACAGTTTAACGGATTGATGACCGAGCGTTTTGTATGAAAACTCTCCCCTGCTGTTAGCATCCTTTACAAGCCTTAGGTAATGAAATATCTTCTTTTATACCAAGATTTATTTAGTTAATTTTGCCCATTGACGTTAATACTTCGAAAAAAATATATAATTATTAATAATTTTTCAAGCATTTAGTTTCATATAGCGATACGTATAATCAACAGCACAAGCCGAACTTCTCTTTCGTTTGCAGTGTATATTTTGCAAGTTCGTCGAGGGTTTTCACATATTTTTTACACAAGTACAGAGTAGAGCACAGAAACTCAAATAAATGAAATAATTGCATTGAATAATAATTAAATAATAACAGCTCTCACGTGTGCGATAAAAATTATAATAATATATAATAATTATATATACATCTATACATACATAAGACAGGAATTGTTATAATTAGAGTCATTACTCCACGGGAACATTCGTAGAATCGACGTGGAATTGTCGCGGAATTGATTTCTTCACGTGGATTCCACGTCGATTGCACGTGGATATTTTCATCGGGTATAACCCTGCTATATTATAACTAGAGTTATTCCTGCAATTTTCAACCATATGCGTTATGTGTAAGGATCAGAATTGTGTAACTCTCTGTCTGGGCACGAGGAATGATACAACATACATAACGTCGATGGTACGTAACAGTGGTCGTCCAAATATTAAATTACATTGTCAGAATGTTGTGCGGTTTTGTGCGTCAAATTAGAAAGTTTGAATAAAACGAGCTTGCTACAAATCGTTTGCGGTATTTGAATTTTTATCAGTATCGATATTTAAGTACCGATTAGTACTGGTATTTTTAATATTACGGCTGCGTTCCAATATTCTCTGCCAGTGCTGAAAATCTACATAGTACATGTAAAATGAACCATAGATTTTCAGCGCTGGCAGTGAATTTTGAAGCACAGCTTGTGTGTATATGAATGAAAGAATCGGAGCGGCTCCAGAGTGCGCTCCGCTCAACTTTTGGTTGATTTTTGTTTAACCGGTCGTTCGGGCAACTAACGGTTTGTTGATCAACGTGAGGGTGATGCAGTTGTTTTCCCAAAGGAAAATAAGGCGGATGTGTCTTCTCGCGCAGTGACTTCCCCGATTAAACGACGAACCAGAATTAAAGATTCCCACAATTTCCTCGGGTTTGCTGTTCGAAGGTTTCGTCGGGAGTCTGTTAATCAAGTCGATCACGGTGAACGATGAGACATTCAATTATTGCGGGGATCACGATGTCTCGCTCTGCTGGTATCATCGTGGTGCTGTGGTCGCTGATGACATGTTCGCTTGGATTCACAATGGATCGTTCAGGTACCGAGCCGATTAACGTGTGCTGCGCACACGTACGCGTGTCAAATTTCGTTTGCGTTTGCACCGTATACTCGCTCGTATTTGACCAATGACTATTCATATTTATGAGCGAGGAAAGAAGAATGTGCGATATGTGCAATATGTTAATTGCGTAAATGTAATTTTTCTAACGCCCGACTCCGAGTTATTATCAGGGACATAGATTTTTACTTAAATTATGTCCTATCATAAGATAAAAAAAGGAAAAAGATTTATAAAATATAAGTATACAATATGTATGATCCTCAAACTCGTTCTTAAATTTGTCCTTTATATTCGTCTCTTCGGCATCCTGCTGTTACGTAATGTGACGTCGATGATTCATGTCTATTTTATCGGCCAGCGGTTATATTGTCCACATGGGACACGGCGCCGTCTTTAGACACCTATCAAAGGATACCCATAGATCCTACATCGAATGGCAAGATACAAACAACGAATACCGACAAGTTTCCGCATGTGGAGGATGCAAAGGTGCCGATGAAAGTGAACGATGGAATGCAGGGGAATCAGACACGTGAAAAGAGGTCGACGACGGAGAACATCGGAGCCGGAATAAAAGTTACCAGTGACGCGGTGTCAACAGTGAAAAATGACGATTCTTATTCCTCCGAAGGAACCACAAGCACCGTCACTGCCCCCCGCAATGTCGTCTTGCTCTTGATCGACGACACCAAGGGTCACGACGAGAAAAGGAGGGAGAACACATGGCAAGGCCGCGGGAAAACACTGCCGTTCACTATCGAAGGATCACTTCAGGTATTTTCCGTTGAGGATGAATGGAGAAAGTGATTAAAAGAGCGTTTAAAAGTTTAAGAGCTGAGAGGACTGGAAGAGGGCGAATGAGTCATACACATCGATTTTTGCAATTTTAACGATTTAACGTGTGTAATCTCAACGCTGGAATCGTTTTGAAATAAATGTTGAGTTCTTTCTTTCGCGGCCTGAGTGCATCCTAGATTCGTTATCTATCTTATGTTATCTGGGTTTAACGTCTCAGAGCTGCGGCGACAGGATCGAGACTATTGGTGTCTCCACGGAGAGCACGTTGGTTTCTGAAAGCAAGGAAAAAGACTGCGATTGTGAGCGTCTGCTCTACACGAATGTCAGAGAGTTGTTATCCTGGGCGAAATACACGAGACAAATGGCAACAGGTCCGAAAGTTTTATTTACCGAATGTTGAAAAAGAAAACTGAATGTTAAAAAAACATAAGAAATTACCAAATATCACAGATACAGATAGAAACTAAATTTTGTCAAAATTAATAGAGGTTAAATCTTAAAACTCTGCAGAATATTATGTAAAACATTTTCTTATACAGGCTGTTCGATGTAAGACAGACCATGCGTCACGTATTTATAGTTTAAATCAATATGGACGAAAAATTTCTCTACCATTCTGTAAACAACACAAAAAATACCAAATTATTAATTATTGGAAATGGTCATGTATAGAGATTTCTTTAATTGATAACTCGAGATTTTCGTGTCGTTTGCAAAATAGTAAAAAAAAATGCATTCACATTGACCTAAACAAATATGTGACATTCTGGTCCGGTTAGAGTCTCTGTATATGACAAAGGTTGACATCCTGTATAAAAGACATCCTTGTTTATGTAATGAAAATATTTCTGTTTGTTATATAACAAATATAATGTTGTACGTTAGTCACAGTTTCTGGCGGCAACCTCTCCAATCCATTGCTTCCTGATTACGTTTCTGGTCCGAGCGACATTTCACCGACCGGGTTTGACGGATCCAACGACGGCGATAGGAAGTTAGAATTGCGCAAAAGCAAGCGCGATTCTAATGACGCGTGGCAAGCGATCGATCTCGGTAACCGAGCGAAATCTGTTCCCATTTTCTTTATGCCTGAAGCTAAGAGAGAGGGTAAGTTACAACTGCGTCAACTAGTGAGGACTAGATAAAATAATTTTTTCTCAGATCTACACAGAAAAAAGAAAGTGATTGGATCTGCAAAATCGGCAGTTAAAAAAATGTTACGTCTGTTGAACAAATTACGCGTTTGTGTAACAATACGTTGCGTTGATACAGTTGCCGAGCAAATTTACAATCGTTGGATCAACTGATAACTCATTGCAGGAATTATATAATTTGTTCGGTGGACCGGATGTTGCGCTTGAAAAAATTGTGTTCATTTAAGCAAAATTCACTGATTCAACTATTTCTTTTTCCCTCAATGTACTAATATAATAGTATAATAATTTTGCAAGATACTCTTTTACTTTTTCTAGTGTTATTAAAAATGTATTAAAACACGTGAAATAAAACTGATGCATTTCTAAGCGATAATGCAGATAAAGACACAATTTTTTACGAAAACGTGAGTTTATCGTTTGCAGAAACGACGAATTACGACGGCGCATGGGACATCTTTGACGTCTTTTCCAAAATAAGAATGGCTTTCTTCCGCTCTCTCCTCGAATCGTTAGGTAGAAAGGATAGCACGTTCGAAGATAAATTTTTACCGCGCAGGCCGTTTCCTCTTAAGCCGACTGTGGTCAATTTAATCGGAAATACGATCAGAGAGCTGAAGTTAATTTCACGAGACAAAGGTTACGTGTTGATTGCTGTCGTGCCAAGGAACGAGCGAGTCGCCGCCATTAACCTTCTCCAAGGCGAAGTAACCGTTTATTTTATGTTACGAATATAATTAATAGCTTGTTGATAAAGTCGTGTAATCAGTTTAATCGACTGGAAAGAACTAGAACGTGTATGAATACTTTTACGCTCACTAATTTATTCATAAAAATCATTAAAAAAAATTCATAAAACGTATCTGCTTTTTGTACAGTTCATAAATTGTTACATAAGTCGTTTTTTTTCTTTAATCAATGCAGATCTCAGAAGATACGCTCTTAGTTGTGACAGAGACCTGCTCCGGAAACAAGTCCGCAGTCCCGTTTGTCGCACGAGGACCGAATGATCAAATTCTCCGTGAGACAAAGGCAATCTGGGAGCTTCCGGTGATGATCAGACACGCGATCGCAGGAGGCTGCCACGGTCCGGGATGTCCAAATCGACCCGACGTTCCCGCCTTCTCGCCGATCGAAATTTCCAGCGCGAAAGTCCTCAGCACGAGAGCAAGTCATCCAAGGCAAGAACGCCGTTGAAAAACTTGTGAGTCTAAGTCCGCAATATTATACCGGTAATAATAAAAAAATAACAAATGAGTAATGAATATTTCCAATAAAAGGAAATAAAAGCACGATCATCGTGATTCTAAAAAAATTTATTCAAATTATTCCATATTTATTTCCATAAAAGAAATCGTTAAATCTATCTCTGACTTGTGTAGTATATATTTATAACGTAAGGGCGATAAAGTTTTTACAGAGTATCGTTTTATAACGCGTAAAAAAGATATACGTTTTAAAAAAGAGATATTTATAACAGGTTTGTGGCGCTCAACGCAATATTAACCTTTGACATTTCGACGACATTTATTCGTGGACACGTCACAATTAATGGTGAAAATCAGCTATTTCCGTCTCCTAGAAATTCTTTGTTTCGTGTGGTAGGAAGCCACAGATCTAACGTCACTAAGTGCCAAGATAACAACCTGGCAAACATTGAGCATCAGTTACATCGCATATATGTTGTAATTTTTCACTCGATAATGTAAATGCATCATACATCCGTTATATTGCATTTGCACGATTGAATGAGAAATTATAATAGAGAAATTATGATATAGATATAATGTAACTGATGCTACGTGTTTATAGGGAAGGTTTTACGCTTGCGTCAGTATTATTTTATTTATTCGTTGTAATATGTACTCGTTACAAGTGCAACAGCTACATCGAGAATTACGTATACGTCAAAAAAGTTCCGCACTTGTCAAAGCCATGCTTGCGACATTCGATCGTGATGACCTCTGACGGACGTCTCACATTTCGATACGATGATGAGGTTTTGATTACCTTGCGTCCTTCTTTTCAGGACACAACAAACATCGAGGAAACCATCGAGGTCTCGCCGGGAAACAAAGCAGAAGCTCCACTCCGCCGGAGACAATACCGTGCATTAGCCCGTTTCATTCCTCGGTCTCCTCGCGTGTGCATCTTGATTTCTTCTTTAAAAAACAGCTAGATCAAACGTTACGTTGTTATTATCGCGTTTTTTATCTCTCCGTTCTTTTCCTTTCGTCCTTCCCCCTCCTTCCCTATTTACCGCCTATATTTATTCAAATTATTCCGCGATATATTCTCACGCGTCACAACACGCGAGAAAATGTCGAATTAGCTCAAAAGTCGTTATCAAGATCAAAAAGCAGAATGGGAAAGACGAAAAGAGAGAGAGAGAGAGAGAGAGAGAGAGAGAAAGAGAGAGAGAGAGAGAAAATGTTGACGTGCGATCGGAAAGTCCGAAAATATTTAATGAGAGCAGAACGTTATACTATCGGCCAAATTCATGAATAAACTTTCACTTGCGCAAGCACATGTTAATCCGTCGATTTCATCAGCAACGATACCTTCAATTGTTTGTTTACAGCACCATGTGTTTTTCGCCGCTGCATAAGGCGTTCCACTTTTACTGGCTCACATTTAAATAACGGAATAATTAGCCGCGTGGTTGATTACCCGAGACAATTAACTTTCTTTCCACGTGGAGCGAATGACGAAACGGATAACGGGATCTTGGCAGCTTTGTATTTCGGCAAGATCTCTGATACACTTGTCGAGAATAATTTGAAAAGTTACCGAGAATGCTCGAGGATGACATTTTTTCCCAGGAAAACTTGGTTTCCTGTTCGTCGAGAACCTGTTATTCAAATTTCGCAAGATGGAAATAATCATATCACCAACAGAATAGCAGAACGGAAATCTATCGAGTTGTGCACATTTATACGTCAAGCGTGAGAAGTTTACACAATCGGGATATCGATCGTGATGTGAAATGTGAAGAGTGAAATTCCAGATTTTTCAAATTAGAAAATTTACCCTTTTCACGAATTCACGTTAGAGGAGAAAATTCACGATCAATTCCTCTCCCTAGGGAGCCATGAATCTTCTCCTCTAGCGTGGAACTCGTGGAAAGTATGAATTTTCTAAATCGAAGGCATTTTGGATTATCACTTACAATGTCATCACCATTATGTATTCGTTCCGATCAAAATTATACGATCGATACGCGGAGTTGAGATTTCCGAGGAGAATAAGTGTCGCATAAATTGAACATTAATATTCTTAGGTCGCAGTTAAGTCATGCATCAATCGCAAAAACAAACTATGCAGCCGAGCAGCGATTATCATTGATGCGTTTGACAAGCATGAAGTTAAACCGGAGTTACACAAATATAGATCCTTCACAATTGTGAACGAGTTATTTTTCACGCACATTTCTATTTGTACATATCTGTCCTCGGTGGCGCGGTTTTTTGCTTATGTTAAAATCAATTACAAAATCGCCGCAGCGATTGCGACCGGCAATTTTACACACACACGTGCGTACGCGAATTCTTTCGCTCGTGACGGTCGCTGTTAGCGTAATCTCGCGCCTGTACACGCGCGCACTCGCGATTACGCTCGCGAAAGAAAGTAAAACGAGGGCACGATCGTAGCCGCGATTAGCCGGCGTGCAGTTCTATGCACTCGGAAGTGAACGAAGCCGGCGGAGAATCGAACTGGGTAGACCCGGTTATCTTGGATCTTCTCGTCGGCGGATCGCTTCTATTGTTACCGACGACGAGCGTTGTTATGTTAAATTCCTGATCTCTCGACCGCTATAAAAATTGCACACATAAAAGGGGAATCTATTCATCTGGAATTTTTTTCTAATTTATGAATTTTTTCTAATTTTTTTTCTAAATTATGAATATCCGTCCTTCATAATTTCAAAGACTGACGTCGAGTCGAGCTGTTTCCACATTATTATGTAAATTAATAAATTCTTATTATGTGGCAGATATAGGCGAACGTAGACGAACATTGGCAGTTATATTGATCACACATGTTGGGCGAATGTAACATAATACGATAATATAACAAACGTAATATGATATAACATAAGTAACATAATATAACATACAATGATCGATATAATTTCCGACGATCGTTTCTACGTTTGCCGCATCGTCCGGCTTAACTCAAAAAGTCAAACCTGAGTATCTCAATCGAGACAAGCCTCTCAGGTAGCGGACTAATAGACTTAAATCTTCCGGTAATGAATATCGAATAAATATCGATTCGAAAGACAACACTTTAAATGCGCGTACGTACGATTACAATTACGCGTTGGGGGAAACTCACTTTATTGACACAACTGAAATCGTTATGTATCGGCGCGATTATGTCGATTCGACACGACTACGTGAAGCATTCATATATATATTTCAACGTTTAATTTCCTTTTCTTCTATTCGCTTGAGCGGCCGCACAATAAGTGCGTAAGACGCACGACGGTCCCGGAGAAGAAAGTTCCGGATTTTGGTGCTCATCAGAGCAAAAAAAGCCAGTATGTATTCACCAAAGCAGTCAGGCGCACGTTATATAAGCGCACAATTTCATGAGTTTCTAAAATCGCGAAATTATAACAAACTATGGCTATCGCCATTTTTTCGCTTCGTTGCGAAATCGTTGCTATTGCGCGTACGCGCAATTCGCGATTGCACGAGATCAACACCGGCCTTCCTCGATCTGTAAAACAAAGGCGACCGGTTCTGTTGTTCCTTCGTCATTATTATTTGACGTAGCGCATACGCAGTAAAAAGTGCGACCGGTTCTATTATTCCTTCATCGTTATTATTTAATGTAGCGCATATACAGTAAAAGATTTTGTGTAAATAACGATCCATTGAAGTTTTTGTGTTACTTTAATAAGGTAAATATGTTTAAAAAGTAATATGTCAACGAAAAATAAGTTAATTTAATACATATTTGTGTGTACTTTTCAACATATTCAAGCAACAAAAATTTCAGTAGACCGTTATTTACACGAGATTTTTCTCTATGTAGTGACACGCTTGTCTCCGCTGAAAAATTGTTTTTTAATCTAACTGCATAATTAAGATAATCGTATCTTCTTTAGCACCAGTAGCATTTTATTCCGAGATGGTAAGCGAATCCATTTAAGCAACTTCTTGGTACAAACGCGAACTTATATTACATCGGAAAATCATAATAAGTGCGTAATATTCTTAGAATATTATATGAACATTATTCAATATTAAAATAATTTTCTTATAATATTCTAAGAATGTTATGTAATACTTTTTAATATTATAGGAATGTTCCGTCGAAGTTATATGTATGTTATACGTTCGCTTCATACAATATTCTTGGCATATTATAAAATAATAATAATACAAAAATATATATATAAGTAAATTGTATATATATATATATATATATATATATATATATATATATATATTTAATTTTTTTAGTATAAAATGTACTTTTATACAAAATTCTTTTGACTTTATTTATATAATAAAACAATTGGTGTTGCAATACGTTTGAAGTAAAAAACTACAATTATATGTACCATATATATACATATAGAGTTGAATATTTAAAAAATATATAATATTACAACAACATTAAATAATATTATTCTTCAAATATCATTAGGAATGGACATATAATAATCTATTAATATTCCAGAAATATTACTTAATATTAAATAATATTATGCGCTTGTACGGACAAGACACTATTTGGGTACAATTTCGCCGAGAAATGTTTCGAGATCGGCGAAGTGCTCGTCATTCCATGGGAGATGGTGTCTTCGGGATCATTCGGAGCGCGGATAATATATCCTTGACGCGACGAACAGGACGAACGACAGGATGTATCTGTCGGACGAATTGTGCCGTGGCGCAAAATTTGCGTAGTGGCGAATTCGCTTAATAAATTAATTCCCTCCAAAAGTCGCTCATTAATCGCGCCAGTATTTTCCTTCTATCATCGTGTGCCATAACGGGAAGCGAAGTGAGAGTGGGGCACTTCTGCGGTATAAAGGAGAACCGGTCCAAGAGGTAATCGTTCCCACTCCGTCGTTCGTTTGCCGTCTCGCGAGTTCGCTGCTCGAGTCTCATTTCTCTTTCCGTAATAATCCAAAAGTCGTCGCGATCGTTTGCGCGTTCGAGCGTCCGTCCGTCTGTGCGTCTGGAGCGTTCTCTCTCTCCGCCGGTCAAGGTAAGTTTCGATCTCAGCGCCGTTTCACCGTGTGACACATATTTGGAGTTCGTATATCGGAAACGATATATTTTCCGTCTGCGGCGGAGAATTCGAATCCGATGTGGGCCGCGCATCGCGTCGAAATTACTTCCGCGTCGAGTCGAATTCATGAGTCGATAGAATCGAAAGATATGTTATCGTGTGCGTACGTCCCAAAAGCAGACACCTTTCGAAATAACGCGCCCGTGTTATTTCCATTCTTTCCGTTCTTCCGCGATCCTACTTGTTGCAACTGCAATTACGCGGGGAATAAAACGATTTCACTGTAAATTATGGGAAATAGTACGACGTTGTACGATCGATAATCGGAAAACGGCAGTGAGAACCAAGTACCGATGTTACATAGTGTACTATTGAAGGAAATTAAAATTTAAACAAGATTAGAATATTCCAAGTCAATGTGACATTACACAAAGCGTAAATTTTGTATGGTATAAAAGTGTGAGAAAAAATGTCTGACTATTTAACTGTATTTGAACATTCCGAAAGTATTTAAGTGTATTCAAGTATTCCACAAGTATTCGGGCGTAATTGTCAAGTGTCCCGAAAATATTCGGTCGTAACTGTCGGAGAAATAAATTGCTGCGACTTTCATGTCGAGTCGCTGATTTAACAGACGGGCACGTCACTCCGATTTCGAGAACTCGACTTTTCGATTAATTTCCTCTCCATCTTTCTCCATCTTCCGTTCGATTGCCGATCCATTTTGTTGACCGGCCGCTAACGGCCGAAGAGAGGTTCTCTTGCATCTGTCTGTGCTTTAAAATACTACGATCGTTCACGTTATTTCAGCGATGTCTATGAAATTTCACAAGAAGAAACTCGGTGCGTTTCAAAGGGTCGCGACAATTACTTTCGATATCGCGGTGTGACACTAACGAAGTGTCAAGTGTTGATTGCGAGATTGATTATAGAAATCGCATGTGAAATATCAATTTCTTAGTTGAATGAACATAGCGTAACGTAATATCGAGATCTTAAGTAGATTTGCATCTACTTATCTTAACATGTTTCAAGAAAGTTTGACGTCGAATCCTCAGACCGTCGGTCTATCGACCTGTCCCGAATTTGAGTTTTGTCCCACAAGGACAGTTTCTAGCCGCCTTTATTTCCAATTTAATCCCTTCGCCCCCGCGATCTTCTTCACGGGACGATGAGCACGATAGTGATGGCGTCGTAGCGCTCGTGTGATAGTTCTTACGGGGAAAAAAAGAAAAAGACCACCGATAAGAATTTTATTATCACCCAAATCGGGAATCATTCAGTCGTCACCTTTCTCGAACTGCTTCATCATTCGTCGTGAATTTTACACGATCGGTGAGGAAATCTATCGGGCATCTAATGCAAGAAACAATTTGTACATTTTTCCCGATTAGTGAAGGGCGAAATCGCGAAATTGCGTTGGCCGTAGGAGAAAAGTAGGACAATGTCTCCGAAATGAGAGAGAACGAAGGTAAAGTGCTCTTTCCCTTCTCTCTCTCTCTCTCTCTCTCTTCTCCGTCCGCAGCCGCAAAGAGTTAGAGAAAGTTTCTCGGTTGAGTAAGCCGCTTTGGTCAGCATTAATTCCTGACATAAGAATGATGGGTATCTTAAGTGGTTATGTAACCCGATGGAGTGCACATTACTCGCGTAACACGTGCAGTTAAAAAAGGAGCCCAGCGAAGACACACATAGCCATTGTTGCATGCCGTACCATAGGATGCCATATGTTTAGTTCATTGTACGGCAATCACGTCTCGATAACGCGAGAAAATATCCGAATAATCTCTGTGATATATGACCTTAATTATTTTATCTCTTTTTTAGGCATTATAAATATTTTCTCGTACATGTATGTGTGTGTGTATGTGTGTATGTGTGATAAGCCTATACTCGTAAGCTGGTATGTGAAATTGAAATCGTGGAAAATGTGTGGATAATATGGAACACCTTATTAAGACTCCTGGCTGGTCCCTCGCTCCAACTGTTTTTGTTTGATGACGTCAGAAGCGAAAAAATGCAGGTCAAGAGTTCTTGGTGATACGTTCAAATAAAAAAATATTCCCACAAAATGATACTTGTGATCGATTCGACACACTTATAAAATTGTCCGAACACTTTTTTTTATATATATACTCACTTTTATATATATATATATATCATCCGCTTGCAGATGTTGCTCATCCAACCTTCAGAAGAGATGTCCAAGCAGATACGGGTGGGCCTGAATGAGAACCCGGCGACCCGAGACAAGGACCTCGAAGCTATCAAAGAATGGCTCGCTAAACAACCACACTTACCTCACTTCAATGGTACAGGCATTCGCGATTCGCGAAAGAAACAACACAGATTTGCCAATTATATTTGCTCCACTGTATCTTTTACAATCGTGTCGTTACATTCTTTCATAACGATCCTGTAAATGTCTTTTTACACATGGGAATCGAAGGATTATAACGTCACGATCAATCGTTACGTTTGGCTACTTGACAATAATATATAGTCCTCTCACTTCGACAGATGACCAAAGAATAATGACGTTCCTACGGGGTTGCAACTTCTCTTTGGAGAGATGCAAGAGGAAGCTGGACATGTACTTCACGATGCGCTCCGCGCTACCCGAGTTCTTCTCTAATCGCGACGTCACCAGGCCGGTGATGCAAGATATAGTGAAGATTATGTAAGAGAAATACGATTATCGTATAATGTAATGCGTAGTGCAGAACGCTCGCTCAAATCACATAAAATCACAGAAAAATGTGACAGGGGAGTAAAATTTATTTCGGGTCAAGTAGACCCAAACAGAACGATGAGGTTAAATTGCCGATTATCGGTAGGCAACGTGATATGCGACGATCTTTAACCTGGTCACTTCTGCTTGCAGACACGTGCCCGTTCTGCCGGGCCTCACGAAGGAAGGTAATCGAGTGATCCTGATGCGAGGAATCGATAAAGACTTCCCGACTCCCAACGTTGCGGAAGCCATGAAGGTACAGGCCTCACCTCGATCATTGGCGGCGGAACTGCGAATCAAGCGGCAACAAGCGCTTTCTTTCCGGTGGAAAGTCTGTCGAACTTGCACCTTAAGTGCGAACGAAGTTAGGCAGAAGAACCGTAAATACAAGTTCGGATCTACAATCGTTAATTCGCGATTCGTCCTCGAGCATTTGTGGTGTCCTTAGAAGACGCACGTTCCGCCGCCCGCTCGCTTAAAGCGGCAGTTCGTCTTGATGAGAGTTCGCCGAGCATTTGGAATTTCATTTCAAACTTCCGCACGCCGTGTATAACGGAGTATCGTGCGCTTCATGCAAAATACATGTTTGTTTTCCGTCGATGCCCGCAGCTGGTGCTGATGATCGGCGATGTACGCCTCAGGGAAGAGTCCCACGGGGTGGCCGGCGACGTTTACATCCTCGACGCCGCGGTAGCGACGCCTACACACTTCGCCAAGTTCACGCCGTCCATGGTGAAGAAGTTTTTGGTGTGCGTGCAGGAGGCTTACCCGGCGAAACTCAAACAGGTGCATGTGATCAACGTCAGTCCGTTCGTCGACACGATCCACAATTTCGTCAAGCCTTTCCTCAAGGAGAAGATACGCGAGCGCATCTTCATGCACAGCGATATAAACACGCTTTACGATCACGTGCCGAAGGAGGTACTGCCGAGCGAGTACGGCGGAGACGCCGGACCCGTCCAGGCTATACACGGTACGCTTCGTTTATTTTGCGCGATTGCCCACGCCTCTCAGGAGTGGCTTTTAATCAAAAAGGAGTTCAATTCAATTGAACATTTATTTATTCATTTTATTAAGTTTTATATTAATTTTATATGAAATTTACCTTATTTTAAATTAAGAAGAAACTCTACGGAAAAAATAATTGTGTACGATTATATATAATTATATATACTAAAGTATTGGCAAATACTTTTGACGAAGGGGAGGAGAGAAGGTAAAGAAATATTTAAATTTAGTCGTTGGTTGCTTTTCAGACAAGTGGATAAAGAAATTGGAGGAATACACACCGTGGTTCGCGGAGCAAGAGGCCGTGAAGACCAACGAAGCCCTGCGACCGGACAAACCAAAGACGCATGACGACTTGTTCGGTCTCGATGGATCCTTCCGGCAGCTGATGATCGATTAAATCAAAGCACGTCCTTCCTCCCCTCTCTCCTCGCTGGGAAGTGTCGCGAGACCGTAATCATCGCCAACGGCAGTCGTTAAGCGAATCGTTCGTTCACGTGAGAGCAGATACTTCGAAGCCCGGTCGATTGCGAAACTTCGTTCACCACGTGACGACAACATGTAATACACTTCCGTTTTTTTCGAGCAGCTATTGTAAGCGGAGCGATTCGTGCCCACGAGTAATTCACACGATAATGCCTGAAATCGCGAAATCGTGAGGGCATCATAAGGGCCAGACGAGAAAACCCGGACAAGAGCAATTGTAGGAGTAAAAACGGTCGTCATTATCATCTGCGTGTCTTCATGCCCGCGGTTAAATTAACGACAAAACTTCGCCAAAAGAGCTGCTTCCTTTCTTCGAGAACTGAACGGAGTATTGTTGATCGAAAAAAAAAGAACAGTAGAAATTTTTTGCTTCTTCGAGAGTTCTCAATACGAGCTTCTTCTCAATTCTCAATACGCTTCAATACGAGCGTAAGCATACTCCATTATTATAATAATGGAGAACACTTTTTTTCCTTTGTAGACGCCGTCGATCGTGTATAGACACGGCGTGGCTGAAGTCGTTCGCGTGATACACTGATATTCTCCATCGTGAGAGATTCTTTTCCTAACTCGACACCGGGAATGTAGATAAATCAGAAGCGGGATATGTAATTACGAACACAATCGAGCGGCTTGTAAATAAATTCTAGATTTCTAGAAAATAGAATCTCTCCAATTTCGTAATCGACACTGAACATTCGTCGGCTAAGTTCTCGGCATGTCGCACGCCGTGACTCGCGCAAAGATACACGTTGGACGTAGAGTTTTCGTCACAAGGATGCGCGAGAAACCTGTACATAATTATGCGTTACCGTAACGAGAGCCGGTAGGTGAAATACCGGCTTTAGCCAACGTCGAAATTTCGGCAAACTTGCAGCAAACCCGAGAGAGAAGTGTCTTGTTTTTTTGTTCGTTTTTTAGAAGGAACAAGTCTCTCGGAACCGGCTGCGGCTGCAGATTACCGACGTTGATTTGTCCCGAAGTGGAATGAAAAAGGAAAGATTCGGCGAGAATGTCGCGTCTAGTGAAAGGTGTGCGCGCGGCCGCTTGACTGTAACTGCTAAAACCGTCCGAATTTCAACAAGAGCTGCAAACAGCTCTGATATTAAAGCAATTAATTCGATATTACTATTAATAGTCGCGATTTATCACATGTCATATCGTTACTATAAATAAGTCACATAATTAATATGTAATGAATGTGGGACAAATTATAGAGAGCGTATATCGTTTACATGCGTAAATATGCAGGACGACTAATATGTACGCTGTGTGCAAAAATTACTGGGAAATATACGAAATTTGTGTGTGCAATTATAATCTCGAATTCATTGGTGAGGGGGGGGGGGGAGAAAAGTGAGCAACAAGTTGAGATCTAAAGTACATTTTAACTTAATTAATTCAATATTACTATTAATTCCATATATAAGCGTTATTAAATATCATATCGTTCGCGTAATATCTCTCTAATGAGATACATCGCAGAGAGGATAAATCACATGATAAACAATCATTTAATGATAGTGTGAAAAATAATCATGATCGCTTCCTGTGATCGCAGGATTGACTCCTCATCGAACCTTTTGCATCGAATAAATTTGAACGTTTTCTTCTCTTACAAGCAACTTACAAGCAACTGTACGATCGATCCTGTTGCTCGAATAACAGAATAACGACTTTTAAAGTTTAAATGAGATCAACTGAGGGGAATCGCGCGAGCGGACAGACGGAGAGGGAGAGTGGGAGAATAACAGCAAGACGGAGCACAAACCGATCGAAGTAGAATAGAAGAACGAGAGGAGCGGAGACGAGCGCGCTCGTTCCGTCGTCGCAAATGCACGAATACAGATAGTTATTATGACTGTTAAGCTGATTTTCGCTCCTCTGCTCCGCCAACACGACAAATGTCTCGCCGATTTTTGTATTATTGTGCAAATAGCAAAAAGCAACAAGAGCTAGTCGATTTCGCGTAGTCAGTGATCCTTGCCAGTTATTACCGATCCTTTCGACATCATCGATCTCCGCACTGTTAAATTCGCGAGCTGCCGCGATTTCGCCACATCGTCAGCATATTATAGACAAGCTGCAAGTCGCCAGATATATGCATTCCGCGCCGTCGTGCTTTTTTAATGAGCAATTCGCCGCTACTGTAACACGCATACGCAATACTCCTCTTTCGGAGAAATTACGTCAATCCAACGGTTCGTGATTTGCTCGAAGAGAGGAGGAAACAAATGGATATGAATAATCCACATTTCACATCTATTTTGTTGCCGTCGGATAAATAGTTCAATTCAGCTCGAACGTAGCCGCTGTAAACGCGCAAGACTCCAGTCTAAATCGAACTCGAAAATCCACGGACTTGCGAATATTTCGTTGAAGCAGTAATTAGGCTTAAATTTGAACGTAAGAACAATTCTGTATTCTTAGAATGCCGGGGAAAATAGATCAAAGTGATTAACTGAGGTGTGAGTGAATGAAATTTGTTCTTTGGCTTCTCGCGGAGCGGCAATTCGAAACGACCCGATCTTCGAGTCACGCTTGAAAAAAAACATTCGTCCTCTCGTCGACTCGCAAAGCGAGAAATCGACTCTGTTCCCTTCGGTGAAAACCTTGATTTTGCAAATTACAGCTCGCGCGGATTATGTTATGAGACTCTAGTGTCTACATGTAAAATTTAATACTGTACACGACATTGTCCTACATCGAACTTACGTACGTATATACGATGCACCTGCACATTGAAAATTATCATTATGCCCGCTCTCGGCGAACCAATTCGCCGGCGTTGCTGAGTGACCGCTAATGTATTCCTTATCGACGGATTCTGTCAGCGTTATCGATTACGACTTCGTCGCCCAAGTCGTTGGATTCTAAGATAAATTCATCTGACTTGTCAAGTTTCAGGATTCAGTCGCCTTTGCTAGAGTCGCTAAATACGTTGGATAACGAATACTTCTAATACAGGGGGGAACTGGGTAACTTTTCGGAATTTTTCTATGTTAAAACTTTTCAGAAAACTAATCGCGGTGATTGACTAAAAGTGACTGAATTACGACCATAGCGACAATCTTCTTCTATGTTTTTGTACTACTAAAGATCCTATAAATCTGCATAATCTGCATAATCTTATATTTGAAATATCGATACTTCAACTTCAACTGTATCGCCGGACATCCTGTATATCGTATTTCATATTTATTTATTATACAATCGTGCTTTTGCACACTACGTCAGACTTTACATCTTATTCACTACTAATCGATTGTAGGTAACGATACAGCTGGCAAATCGGCTGCCCCGTTCGCAGGCTCTCGTCTTCAAGAAAACCGACCCGATCTATGGTACCCGATGTATGAAGCACTCCATAGAACTGTCACTTCGCTAGGAATTATAGAGATACTTGTTACAATGTAATGACCGATTCTACGAAAGAGCAGCCAGAGCTGAAAGTTCCGCGACGATATACTGTCTGAGCTGCCATCTAAGTTTGCTTGGCAACTGCTGATGAAAGTTATCTTCAGCAAGCCAGATTTCTACATCATTCTTGCGATGTGTCGAACATTCGTGATGATCGTCATTTTAACTACGAATCGAAGGTGCGTGATATCGAGGTAAGAATATATTGAAGTGAGCGCACGATATAATTTCCCGAATTTCCAACTGAGAAAAAAGAGAATATAACGCATTTCGTAAAAATGCACGTCAATTTATAACTTGTTCGAGTAACATTACTCGATTTTAACGGCACGTTCCATATCAGTTTCAACGATTTTACACTTACTTTCGTCGAATTTGACGATCGAAGTAAACTAAGCTGGATTGTACTCTGTGTTACACATAATTATGCAAATTATCTTAAAATATCATCAATTTGAATAACAATAGTGCAAAAATAACTCAACTGTAGCACAGCTTATGAAATTCGGCTTTCATTATAATTGTAAATATATCGAATATGTATTAAACAGTTCTATATGCGTCGAAGCAAATTAATTTACGCATTCTTTCGGACAAGGCATGTAATTATGAACATATTTTCTTCGTGCACCTATTTGACTGATTTAAAAGTGAAGTATTCATAATAATAACAATGACTATGAGTACACAGAATTCTGTATTTTTCTAATATAGGTAAATCATATAAATGTAAATAATACATTTATAAAGGGACCCCTTAATATCGTCAGTTTAGTGCCGATTTTGTGGACAAAATTATAATTGGAAATAATTTTCTTTTACTATCTTCACATATTCAGTATTGTAGGCATTAGATATCGATTTACACCAGTCTGTACGTCTAACCGAGCGTGATGTTACTGACAACTGCTGTGTTGACGATATGCTTTCCCGTGCAACGGCTCGCGTTACGATCGCGCTTACATTACGCATTGCTACCATTGCAGGTACCGTCGCAGGTGTGATACGTGAGTGCTGAAACACGCGAGTCTATCGGTATCATTGCCATGAGACGCAAATGGATTTTTATCATCTGGCATTTGCCACTGGTTTTCCTCCTCTTGCACTGCGGAAACTTTCACACGAGCGTGAGCGGTGAGTCTTAATTGCAAGTTCTACAAGTTTCCGTAAAAAATAGAGACACACAGAGAGAGAAAGATAGAGAGAGAAAGGGAGGAAAATTGCATGAAAATTGTGCCAAGTTATAGCGGATGAAGCCGGACAAGAATACTCGAAGGGATGTGCACATCTGAAGTGCGAAAGCGGCAGCCGGTGCATCAAACGGAAATTCTGGTGCAAGAATCCGCCTTGTCCGGGCATGTTGTATTGTTCCAAGTCCAGGGAAGGTGAAGACACATTTAGAAAATGATCGATTATTAGTTACTCTCGTTTCCTATTGAATATTAATTCTTCCAATTGACTTTTACACCCGCATTTCTTCGATATTTTTTCGATCTTATTATTTCGCTCTTCTTTTGCATGCTTTCTAAAGATTTGGTTTCGTTCGGTTAAATCGATTAATTTCGCGTTACTGATTCGTTTAGAATCATTGAAGGGGCCGTTGACTTGCGACACCGTGCGTTGCAGCAGCGGACACTTGTGCGTCGTTCGAGTTCGAGGATGTCGTTGGGACGAAAGTAACGAACGTGTATTAGAGGAGCTTCGGTTATATATATTTTTTTTTTAACGTGTGCGACACACCGATTGCAGCGTGAACTCTTTTAGAATGCCAGCAGCAGATTGCGCGCTGCATATCGGAGAAGGAATATCACGAGGGAGCGGTTTCCTGTGCCGGCTTCAAGTGCCCATCGGGAAAACGTTGCATCCTGCGGGAATCACGCTGTGTCCGTCCGCCCTGCAAACTCATCAGAAGCTGCGACGAGGCGAAAGGTTAGTCCGAGAGAAAACCGGAATACTACCTAATTTATATCATTACTATTTCATTTATACAATTTTCACAACATATAATTCAAGATTTACACTTCCTCTCACGATACTCATTTGATTTGATTTTATTTCACATTTCTACGTTATTTTTGTCACATACACAGAGGAGATTTCTTTGGATTTAATGTACATGTTCGTTTGACTTGGGTCTGTTTAATACAAACGACATAATTGATTATTAATTAAAACAACATAAATGTGTGTATATACAAAGAAATTGCGGGGAATATGGAGGTATTCGAATTCCAAGTTTACGCGATAAATTGTAAACCAGCAGACGTGCGAACCTGGTTCGACGAATGCAGAGATTTGGACTGCCTCTCGGAATACGAGTGTTTCCTGCGAAGACCGGACGACGATTGTCTCGATGCGTCGTGCGTGCGCACGCCTGATTGTACTTTAACCGCCGGTTCGTTTGCGTGTTTTACGAAGCGATGAAAGATCAAATAAATTTTTTGAGAACAACGATTTGACGATCTTCCGATTCACAGAAGACGAGCTGATCAGCAAGCATTGCAGCGGCTGGATCTGTCCGCGAATGCAGAAGTGCGTGGTACGAATCGTAGGTTCGTGCAAGGGTTTCGACTGCACGATAGAGAGATCCTGCCGGTCCATCGCCGTATCTTCGAACTCGTCTGCCGAACATAACGCGTTTGTGAGCAACAAGGTAGTCCATTCAATAAATAATACTGCGAATTTCGAGACGCGGGGGAGAAAATACACGAATAAAGAAACTATTGGAAATAAATGCAGACCGATGGATGGTCGACTGAAAGGACCCCGATGCAAATCGGAACCGAGCTGATCCGCCGGGACGCGGAGAGACGCGGAATGAGCACACCGACGCGTTATCCAATCGCGGGGAAAAAGGTATACTTTCTCACGAATGTCTCGAAGGCTTCTGGGAAATTTAAATGCCAAAACTAGATAGAGATTTTATTCTGTGATTTCAGACGACATCGACGGCGGCTTCAACGAGGAAGCAAACGGATTACACAACGACGCAGTAAGAGATTAATTGCAAATATTTTTCTCTTTCTTATTAATATTTAAGATAAGTATTCGTAAAATATAAACGAGCGCGCGCACACATACACGCACACACGTACACGAAGCTTTTTAGAAATTCTCCTGCCGTTGATTTGTGTGATTGTGTGTTTTTTTTTTATACGGTAGAAAACACGGGACGGAAATTCCGGTGATTCATCAGCGAACTACGACAAGATCAAGCTCAATCGTCGAACCATCAAATTTATCGTCGACCCAACCACATTCCGTGTCGTCTTACCTTCAATCTTTATCGGGTCCCGACGAACTATTAACAACGAGCACCATCGACAATGGATTGACGATTGTAGACAAGGACGATGTTCTCCCGGTACTACTGTCATACTTCTGATTTATGGAAACAAAAATTTGGCATTGTGTATTTGAGAGGCACGAAGGAGTACAAGTTCGCTATTGATTAACTAGCAATTCTGACGTGTATATTGCGTCAATTGCGAAAAACTTGATAATTTCGAGATTAAACTAAGTCCTTCGTGATCTTAAATTTGTTGATCTTGTACTCTGCGATCTTTTCGCGAGCGAGACATGAAACAAAACACTTTTTGCATTTCTTACAGCCTAATGTGTGCTTTTCGATAATACATAGTTCCGACACCGCTTGTTCTAACATTATAAGATTTTTCTTCAGACCACCCGAAGACTCTCCAATTGGTCGAGGAACTCCAGTTTTTCGGCGAACACGTTCACCGACCGGAGATTCGAGACTTCTTCCACTGCACAACACGACACGACAAGATTAGAGATGCCGAAAAAGATCTACATAGCGACCGATGACGCTATATTGCCGTTTCTTGTGGTATTGGAGGGCATCAATTTGGCCGGACAAGGTTATCCTATTTGGATAGGAAACGAGCCTGATCGTTCGGCGCCATTAGGAGCGGAAGACGAGAATGAAGGCGGATGGAAGTATCAAGCATCGCCGGAGCCCTACCGGATTTTACTACCGCCGTACGAGCCAGTGATCCTCGTCGAGGACACGAGACGAGGACAGCTGCCTCCGTTTATCACTTACGCGCTTAGTCACCCTTTTAGCGAAGCGACTTTACGATTCTTGCAAGAAATTCCGTCCCGAGGTATTTATAACTGCAATTAAAACTACCTTTAATCGTTACCGAAGGTTGCCCGATTGCAATATAAATTATCAGGCGTCTAAATTAACTCGGTGCTTTCGTTATTGAAGACCAACATTTATTTATCAAATTTTTTATTCGACCCGACGAACTCTCGATATTTGACTAACATGGCTTCAGATACGACGGAAAATTCAAAGACGAGTAATAATTCGTCGAACGTGGCGGACAGGATTGGCAAAAATACAAACGCTCCAGCAACCGTCGAGATGGAAAACCTCCGGATAAGTCATTTCGACGATTCGACCGACGATCACGCGAATCTCCGCGCGGTGAAGGAAGCAGACGTCGTTTTGTCGAATATCCACGACGAAGAATCGGATAATTACTACGATGTGAGTACACCTCGAATGATTGGCGTCCTTCCGCGGATGGAATAGGCGTGATAATTATTTATTCCTTCGTTTACACCGTGCACACGTAGGATCACGAGTGGCGATCACCGGGGCATGCGATTCAAGACTATCTGGAAAAGATCGAGCCTCAATCAGTCGACGAAGGAGAGCTTACATCTAGCAACGACGAGTTTGCAACAGATGACGCGCGTAAGAATAATTCCGATAATATCGCATTATTTCGCATGACATTTGAGAACAGTGATAACAGTTGGTTGATAATAACAAGGTGACAAGAGTTGGAACATTGGGATAATTTCGATCCCTCTTAAACGTCGCGACATCATGCGACTTTGGTGTTTTTATATTTGGAATATTTGCTACCTCAAGTTACGAAGTCGTACATCTTTGAGCGTTTCGAAACGTAACAGGGAGATATCGATTTGATTCGATGGAAGATGATCTTAGAAAATCGTCAGAGGAGAAGGTGGTATGATGAGTTTCTTTAGAATAAATATATAAATTTGTAACGAAACACTGTGTTTTTAAAATGAAACCAATTTTTGAAATCTAATTTAACGAATGGGGATTCACATCATCACTTTTCTTCCCCTTCGACCTATTGCGCAGTGTCTCCATATTTTTTATAAATAACTAAGTCCTAAGTAATTAATATTCCATAACTTCCAGTCTGGAATTGATTGGAACAACAGTTGGACGAGTGTAATCGTTAAGTTTTCCAATTAAAAATATTGATTATCGATACAGTTATCGTACGAAATATAAATGGAGGGTCATAATACCACTTTCTCTCTTCTGACTACAACGCTTGAACTCGACGTGTGATTACTGCATTATCGTAGACCTGAATGAGACGAGCGCATCATCGACCGTCGCGAAGACCACAATCGTTAGAGACAAGGTTGCGTCCGAAAACAGAGGCCGATTTTCGGACACGCAAAACGCACACGGACACAATAGAAATCTTGCGACATTCGATCGAATACGCGTCTCGACAGGACGAAGCGATTATAGCTCTGAAGACGACGGGGAACGTCACGGCCTTGTAAATTATCTCTATGACACAAGAACCGCTCGCGACGTTGATAAATCAAGGGCACACCGTGGCTCCTTCCCTCTAAGTCGAGTTTCGGACGTCTCACCGAGGCACCAGGAGGTAAATCACGCATGCATCGCGCCGGGAATTGCGTCTCTCTTGCATTTTTATATTTCCTGCTGTATCACTCGCAGTTTATAAAAAATCGTAAACCGGTTCCCGGCGATTTTCGGTTTCAGCCGGCCGTCTTTTCACTCGTCGACCGGCGGAGGAACGAACGTCCGGCAACGGCGTTTCTCCGGGTGACATCGCCCTACCGCCGCACCTACAACGATAATAGCCAGGAGAAGAAAAACGGCGATCGCGAATACGACGAATATTACAGTCACGAGAGAGCAGTACGACGACATTAGCGCGGCGTCGAGACCGCGGGATCACGATGGGAAACGGTACCGTTAATCGAGCGCAAATTTATGGGCTTTTTATTGCCCCTCCCTTCCTTACCCGAGGCGTTCATGGACTTCGCAGATGGATTCGTTCGTTTGTGCGGGAACTCGCCGAAACTCCGCTTCCGTGAGTTCTGCTGTCGGTCTAGGTGGAACGGTGGACTGGTGATGCACGGTGAAAAACAACGGCACGCGGCGAACGGCCCGTCGGTTTATATGCTGTGACAATTGAATTTACTCCGCACGAAATCCTTGTTTCTTTTGCGCCTCAATTATACACAAGCTGTGTCGGACGGACCGATCGAAAGTAGCTCGCGGCTTTGCGCTTTCCCGTCAGCAACAATGTTGCCTCCGAAAGCAGAAGTCTCTTCCTATTTCCGCCCAGGGATGGGCGATACGGTCTGGTTTGTGAATATTTCATTTCGACATCATTATTTTGTGTTATAATCGCGCTCTCGTCTCGCTCGGGGTGAAATTAAAGATTCACATGTAACTGGCTTGCATTTAATATTGCTGCAAGATCGGCGTCTGACTCTCACTTGCCTATTGCATGTTTATCCTTTTCCCGTTGTGTCGATCGTGCGTCATTAGAGTCGCCACTTCTCCCTGTTATAAATTACTTTACCGTACTTAGTCTCTCAATGACAAGAATATCACCCGACGTGAGATCGAGCATTCAGAGCGTACCGAAAACGGCGCGCACACGAAGCGTATTAAACAGTTCTGACGACAGTAACTGCTACTCGTAACACTTCACTGGCATTTTTTACGACGCACTGTACGATCCGCGTTCTTGCCGTTTACCGGCCCATTTTCTCCTCCTGCCGAAACCTCCATTTTCCTGTTAACGTGCACCAATTACTCCACGAATCGCGACAATCAGCGTTCTACCGGCAGCATCATCGAATAATTAGCCGGGTATTTTTCCCGAGTGTACATCTCATCGAATGAGAACGGCAATGGAATGAGCGGGCAACAGTCTGAAACAATAATCCCGCGAATCTACCTGGGATTATCCTCGTCGTTAAAAGACGCGGCGGAAGGTGTCATCGTCTGCCGATCCCGCTTCTCTCTCGTCGTCGTCGCGAGATTTCCCGCGACCAGCCGCGTGTCCCCGAAACCGCTCGCACGCCCGAGAACGCGAGAAGCAGAAGAGAGACGGCGGGAAAGGTGGTGGAGGTTGTCGAATATTACCACGGCGATGGGGAATGGTACCGGTCTAGTCGGCCGTTGATCGCGGTACCGCGAGCTACGGTTCTCCCGCGAATAAGTAGTCTTGGCCGCGCTCCTCCTGCACCTCGTCGTGCGCCCGCAAGTCCCGGCTGCAATTATCGTCCGAAGGATACCGAGGGTGACCATCCTTGAAAGGTGAGTTTCTTCTTTTTCTTTTCCTCCTTTGCCTTTCCTTTTTTAAACCGTCGAACCACCTTAAGACCTTGAGAGACCGGTGTAATTTTCGGCGAGCCGGTACCGGCTCGCAGTGCCGCGGGATTCTCCGTGATTTCTGTGAGTCGAAATCAGTGTCGGTTCTACATTGAGCCTGTTTAATTTGCATTAAGTCTTCAAAGATCTTCCATCGTGCTCCTTATCGATTCTACAAATGGGAAGTTATTTCCATTTTCCCCGCTTGAAGACTTAATATTAGATTTTCAATATCCCCTGGCCGGTCTCAATTTTCTTTGTAACATTAAAAGAGCATTATTGGTGCTCTCTCTCTCTCTCTCTCTGATACTACGAAAATGAGATGTTATTTTCATCTTCTCCACTTTCAGGCTTAATGTAGAACCAAGTAGAATTTAACGTAAGACCGAAATTTCGACTCGGCTCCTCCGGTGATTTCTCTGCGTTTACTCGCGTCGCAGAATGATCAAGATGATTATGACAATACGAAATATAGATTTGTTTTCTATTTCTGCAGAGTGTTAGTTACCCTATCGAAGCTCGTCTGAAACAGGTTTCGCGTAAGAACGAGAAGAAACGTGCGAACTTTAGTCGCGGCAATCTGACGACGATGACGTGAAAGACCGTTCCAGCGACATATTATAGATATTTAAATTTCCGCCAGCCACGTAGACGGTTATTATTCGTACATAGCAGCGAAGGATATGAAAATTTGTGTCGATAAACGGTCGTTGCGCGCCCACGGAGCGCGGACAGGCGCGTCATCGGAGCCACGTAATACGCTCGTAAAAACGCTGGTATCTGCAAGTACATAAATATTCGCGTGTCCGCCCGCCGACGACGAGAAAATAAGTGAAAGGCACGTCTCCCGTCGCACGTCTTCTCTCGCATTTAATATATATTACACGCCGATTCGGCATGCGTTCGCGGCACAGTCGATTCTCGACGAATCCTCCCCGTCGCGGGCGGCCGAGCCGAAGTTTCAGTTCTACATTAAGTACTCTTCAGAGTTCTTCTTGTTGTGCTTCCTCTGATATTACAAATTACGGGAGTTATTTCCGTCTTCTCCGCATGGAGACTTAACGTAGAATTAAAAATCTCCCCCCGGGAGGTCGAGATTGCAGCATCAAATATTTCCGTTTGCCTCACTGGAGACTTAATGTAGAACTAAGTAGACACGAGGTAAGATACAGATTTCGAAGCTGTGCTTAATTAATGACCGAAATTGGTGAAAACGGGCCTCGATGTGGGAGCAACATTTAGACTCTCAAGAGTATCAAGTCCACATTTTAGCTCCGAAGGAATATTATCGCGCTGCTGATGTGCATGCACATGTGGAAGCTTATTCCCACAACGAAAGAATTAAAAATTCCGACTCGGGAGACGCGCCCGGTGGACGCGCGCGCGGCGAGTCGCGTGGGCGGATTAATTTGCTAAACGTGTACCTTGGCATTAAGCGCGTCGTCGGATCGATCCACCTTTCCCTTGAAACGTTACGACCATCGGGTAACGTATTGCACACGTCTTTCCGCCGTCGCGCGCATAACTCCGTTTCTCCGCGGTTTCTACGGCAAGATGCGGTAATCACTCCGCGGATTTCCTGAGAGAGGCGAGAGAGAGAGAGAGAGAGAGAGAGAGACAGGGATGTCGTGCGCTCAAAAGATCAGATCGAAAAATAGAGCGGGAGAGAGACGTGCCTCGCATACGCGGCGTGACGTATAATATCTAGATATGGATAACGCCGTCGGCGTTTTCTTCGAATCGCGAGAGCGGATCGAGGAGGCGTCGTTCGCCCCTCGGTTTTTCCTCCCGCGTGCAAAATACAGGGGCACCTTCGTTGGAATTATCTTGCATGCGTAATGACACGAAACGAGCTGGAGACGGCTGGAAATGCCAATTTATCCAACGACGACAAGTGCTCGTGAGAACTGTATGATATTATGATAAGAATGTAAATTGCGCTCGCCCGCTGCTCTAAGCGGTTCGCGTACGTTCTCGTAGGAGCCATTAAAACGCGATCGGTGCCTAATATCCGGTTGCGTGTGCGGAGGAACGTCTTATTTTATTCACGCGGAATAGACACGAGAGCTCGGGGTATCCCGTCCCGTCGTAGGATATATCCTATAATTACGTAGAAATTAGAATTACAATTACAATTACCCTAGAAAGAGCTCCGGACGTCCGTTTTTACGATCGTCGATACGACGTAACGCGACATTGCTTAATGCCATAATCAATAACGGTCACGATACGAAGTCCGTTCGACATGTAAATGCACACACACGTGTGTCGCGGGAGTTAGAGAGAAATGGAAGAAAACAGAGAGAAAGAAAAAGAGAGAGGGAGAGAGAAATGAAAGGGAATAAACGCTCTCGGAAAATCAGTTCGGGCCGGTAATGCAACGCGGCGTGTAATATCCACATTTTCGCGCTCTCGAGGGTCGAAGCGTGCCGACATGTAATTGAGAGAAACGATACTCCGACGGCGGTAGCGATTACGTTGTTAACGGCGGACGTTTTAAGTTTTGCAAGTTACATAAATCCCGATTAACACTCTGGTGTACTCGGCGCGTACGGTAGTAGTTTCGTGCCAACTACTGCATCGTGGCGCTCGAAAAAAAAAAAAAAGAACCGCGCCGTTGCAGGCTATTGCAAGGTTCCTCGATTGATCGCGCTCGTTTGCGGCGTTGACGACGTGGCATGAATGACAATTAGAGAGAGACAGAGAGAACACAATTGATGCACACGTGCATCGAGATCTCATTAGAACGACGTCGTCCAATTACGAGAAATCGAACCGCATAGAGGATGAAAAGAAAAAAACGCGAATTGTAAATCCAATTAATTGCAAATTTAACGTTACGACGTTGCATACTCCCGAGTGGAAGTTTTAAATTGTATATTAAGTCTTCAAGACGGAGGAAACGGAAATGAATTCTCACTCGCAGGGAATTTAGTCCTCCAGCGTCTGCATTATCCACGGTTTCAGTTCGGCGTTGAGTCTTCAACGTGGAGAAAACGGCAATAATTTTCCCACTTGTAGCACCAAAGGAGCACGATAGAAGACCTTTGGACACTCGAACAATATTAGGATTTGTAAATGTATTATTAGAAATTGCAAATTTAATATGATAATAAATCGTTCTGCGTTTCTGCGAATTGGCAAGCCGAAATCTTCACGACGGGCTTCAGGATGGAGAGGAGAACGAATTGTCCGAGTCGCAAACTCCAACTCGATTTCAAATCCATTCGCGCGCGCGCATCGCGATGAATGAAGCTCGAGAGAATTCCGCGGAGAGAAGGGCCGCTTTTCGTCATTAAGTCGTGACAATTTGCGCGAAATGAGAAACAAAGTGCGTTCTCGCGGATTGGCTCGCTGATAGGCGAACCGGCGGTAACGCCGGAGCTAAGAAGCAATTTCTCAATGGCCGAATGCACGCATGCATTATGGCGCGGTTCTGGAGTTGCGCAAAACGATACCTCCATTAGTCTGGAAGGATCGAAAATTGCCCTCATCGCGGGATTTTCCATTTCGAGCGAGACGGACAGTCCGCGGCGGACTAGAACGGCGGCGCAAATTAATCGATGGAGATCCATTAAATATATCACATCGAGCGCGAGTAATGAATAAAAACTACCACCTGTGTTACAGGTAAACTCGCGATTGCGAAATCGGGCCTGGGTTTCTCATTTTTCAAAGCAACACAGTCCCAATCCCGACGCGAAAGGTGATCGGCTATCAGAGAGATCGCGATCGCGAGAGCAGGAAAATTAATTGTTCACGCGCGAAATCCAGCGTCGTGAAATCACCGATACCTTTTTAACGACATCCTGATTTCACCGAACAATGTAATGACACAAAGAGCATGCGAGCTTCCTCTTTCCGGAGCTCGATCGCCAAACCTTGTTTATTACATCCAGCCGCTACCAGGCAGCTACGACATTACGATACTTCTGTATAATGGAGCCGCCAGCGGCTACACTCCTCGAGTGTGTACGCTCCTTCGGAGTCAACACCGTTACGTTCACTGACCGAGAACCGCGCACTGTCTCGTCGCCGATTACGAAAGTCTGCAATTTTACAGCTTCTTTTTCTGTTTCCTTATCTATCCGCCGTGCTGCTCTGCGTCATGTATATTCATACGCCTTTAATATCGCGATGCATCTTTCCGGCTCCACCTTCCAACGCGCGGAAGTAGCGCCGCCTGCCGCGAAAGAATTCGTCTTGTCGCTTCGGCGTGTACTCGTCGAACTTGTTGAAGGGAAACGGCCGTTTCTTTCTGTTAATTGTTTTTTTTTTTTGCAAAAATTATATAACGAGTCACTTGTCATACGCGTAATTAAGTGTGTATGTGGAAACGTGCACGGGGGAAAAAGTTTCTTTGGGTTTGATGAAATTTTTCGAATTGAAATAAATCTGCCCGTCGGAGCGGAACAAAGGAACGAATGTCCGATTCAACAAACAGGATTGTTTGCATTCTCAGAGAATAAGAGAATAATAATATCTTTACGTCACCCTGGTAGAAATGTATTGCAGTTTTCTCAGACACACATTAGTTACTGTCTGGTAGTAATGTATTCTCATTAGTTGCAACAATACCGCATAGGAAATGGACAATAAACTCGATGGAGTTTTATTCGGTGGCTGAAGCAGTTCGTCGGGTAAAAATACGTGCAGTTTGTGCGTAGATAACTGAGTCTGTATTGGCATGTAAGAATTTAAATTTAAGTGAATATGTTACCAGTACCCAAGGAGTAAACGTTCGTTTGTATTTTTAAGTATTTTCTCTCTCTCAGTGAATAGGTCACGCATTTCTATCGAATGTCGTGAACGCCATAAACAGTATTTTACGGTATATAGTCCTTGGCACCGAAGACCCTCTTCTTCGAGAAGCCGGTCGACGGCATACGGCGTTCTCGCGCGGTTTCTTTCACAGATCGAACATCTTTCCGTCGTCGCTCTCGCGCCGGAAATTAAAACACCGTGTGCGCCATCGTCTCGCGCCTCGCTCGCAATTCGCAATTGCGTGGCATTCGAGGAGAGAGACGTTACGTCCTAGCGCGATTACGCACCCCGGCTTCTCTGTGAGAAGTGTCGACGCGGAGGAAACACGCGCGCTGTAAGGAAGAAAAAACGGAGAGAGAGAGAGAGAGAGAGAGTGAGGGGAAAAAAAGGGAAGAAGAAAAAGTTTCACCGGCGGCGGCGGCCTGTAAGAAGACCTCGCGGGGAAACACGTGAGTCGTAAGAAGGACACACACAATCGAGAAGAGAGTCACGCGCGTACACGTTCTCTACTGAATCGCGCGCCTTCCGATCAAGCTGAATGAGTTTACGGCTGGACACACTCTATTACGGGGCTGTTACACGTTCGTTACGACGACGACGATGACGACGACGATGCCGGCCGGGTATGCGCGCTCTCACTCTCGTTCAGCTTTTGTTGTTTTCCAAGCGCGGAGAGCTCCGCTTCATGCTCCGCCGACGGTACACCGGAACGAAGATAAATGCGCTCTCGGTGGAGCAGATTCACCGGTGCGTGACCGGTCAAGGGATATCGTTAGACACTTCGGCTTCCCGAGAAGTGGAAATATTGTTGCGTTTTCCCGTCTTCCTCGCCCGCCGAGTGGGAACGTATCTGGTCCTGGCCTCAGTGAAATGTCAGTAGCAGATGCATAGAGAAGATTTCGAATTTACTGTTTCTTTCATTGAAACGAATTTGTTTTTCGGAATAGAACGAACGAATTTCCGATTCGTCAGACACGGGATTGCTGTTGTTGATAAAGAGGACTGGCTTTTCAAACGATAAGTGTCTATGTCGAATAGCATATTTCTTTTATATTTTTATGTAAACATTACAATGGTTGTCACGAGCAATAAATTATTTGGAAGAAGCGTAACACTGTTGGAAAAATATTAAGGGACTTGTTTGTTTTCGTGGAACGATATTTATTATACGAGGTAAATTCTTTTTATTGCAAACGCAATATATTATTTCTTGCGGGTAATACTTTTTCGTTGTGTCCCGAATCTGTAAGAATGCGGCACCGTTTCCCCTTTCGTTAGAGAAATGTAAAAAGATTAGAGAAAGGTTAGAGATCGGTTGAATTTCCAAATTCAGCCAATGAAAAGATGGCAGAAAGAAAGATCCGTGTCCAAACACTCGCTTCTCTCTTTCTAGGCCCGTCGAGAGATCAAAGCAATCTTACCGCATGCTCTGTGCAGAACTGTTCGTCGATTTGTCCAGCTTCTATAGACCCGCCGTTAGCATGAAAAAAATGTGAGGTAGCAGAGAAAGAAAGCAAAAGTGAACGTTGCAAGTGCCTGACGACTAGCCGTAATTTTTCATCTCGTAACTGTAATTTCTTTTGTTTAGCCGTCAGCTAACTTATTTATCTAGCCATCGGGAGAAGTGAGCGTTGCATTACCGGCTAATAGCGACATTAGACACAAATTTACTACCTCGTGACTGGACACCCACGAGATTCAACTTCTACTGAGGCGCGCTGAAATGAAGCTCGCGTTCGTCCGGTCTTTCTTTTTTTTCCCGTTTCTTCTCCTTGCTGAACGTTGCAGAAGATTCGTCGCCCGGAGGAGAGGGAAAAATATCAATTAAGATTGCTAACGCGAGAGGAATGCCGCGGAGCTGATGATACCGAATAACCGCGCTTCGGTCTGTAATTATATAGTAATCAGGAGCCGGTGACTCTCTTTAACCCGGCTCTCTTAATTACACGTCGGTCTTACGTAATCGTAGAAATGTGTGACCACCGGTGACTCGAGTGCTTGGCCGTAATCGTTTATTGGGATAAACGTGAATGTCAAATGCATCTTAAAGACGCCGATCGAAACGGCATGTTGCGAGTGAAAAGTTCGTAAAAGTCCGGCGACGAGTCTCCCACCAGCTCGCTCATCTCACCTCGCGCGAGACGCGACGCTTTGCGCGAGGACTGCGCAGCATCGATCTGATCCGTCTTTGCTTTGACACGAGCCGACGTTTCGACATTGCCGACGACGAGAGTCAATTGTAACTTTAACGACAACCGTACTGTCTGTTCCAGATGAGTTGCAACTGCCCGTTGACCACGTCGACGGGGCCGACGCTGGCCTCGACGTGCGGCGGCCAGTCCTTCATGCTCTTCATGGGACTGCTGGAGGTTTTCCTACGCAGCCAGTGCGACCTCGAGGATCCGTGCAACAGGCCCGCTCCGCCGAGCAATGTCAATACGAGGTGAGCCGAAGGCCGTTCTGGACGGCGGTGATCGGTCGATTCGAATATGGGTCATGGGTGAACTAGAACGACGGAGGAGAAAGACACCGCGCCTCTGAGTTGATTTCTTTCGTCGATCGAGCGCGATAACGAGGGAGGGGACCCGCTTAAATCGTCGTAGGTATCGTGTTGTCCACGTGTACGACGCGAATATCTAATTTTCTCTACTCGTGAATTTCAAACGATACGAATGGAGAGACAGATAGATAAGTAAATAGGTAGGTAAGTGGAGAGAGAGAGAGAGAGAGAGGGAGGGAGAGAAAGCTCGGCCGAAATTTATCTCATCTCTTCCTCTCTCTCTTATTCTTCCGGGAGAGGGGAGGGGAAGGAGAGAAAATTCCTGAATCGAGGACGTCTATAAATCAAGCGGCTAAGCTGCGATCATCCGCCGATAATACCGTTTGACTGACTCGATCGCGATCTTATCTACGGTTATCGGGTAAAGTAAGCGAGGGAAGAAGGCTCGGAGGCAAGGTAACTTCCTCGTTCTCGCATCGTCTAATTACTCGGCTGAGGTCGCGTCGAGGAGAGAGATACCGGGGGCCTCGGATTTACCGTTGAGGAGAAGAGCGCGCTTTATATTTTTCCACGTCCCGCGTGCCATCCCGGCGCATCTGCCGGTATTGTATGTGGCACGCTTTGGAGATAACACACACACAACAGGCCTCTCCCCCGGGAGAGATCTCTTGTCACTTATCGACGAGAGATGAGATTTCTTCCGCGAAGAGAGCATCCGCGGGAAGCGTCGTTCCAAGCGACGACGAATCCTAAATGCGGCCGCGATTGTGTCGCAGCCGTCGCGCGGCTCACGTAATACCCGTAGGAAATACCCAACGTATGCCTTCCCCCCTCTCCACCCTCCCTCTCGGAAGTGAGCATCCACGCACGCCTCTCTCATCCGCGAGAAGTCGTTACACCTGTACGCACGTACGTAATACCGCGGGCCATTGTTCCGATGCGTCTCGTTGCGTCACATCTGGCCGCGGCATCTCTGCCGCGCACACCTGCGCGGGTTCGCGCGGGACGCGAAAGGAGCAATTCTCCGCGCGACGAGCCCCGAACACGCGGCGAACCGCGGAGAAACCACGGCCGGATACGCGGGGAATGAAGATAAAATAACGGCGAACGCGCCGAAGTAGGTAATCGATATTCCGGTGCGTTTCGCTCTTGGAACGCGCGCTCGCGGAAAAATACATACCGCACATTCAAGTAAATGTTACTTGCCTCAAGTATTTCGTTATAAGTTAATACATCCCGCGAATGTGTCGCAGATTCGTCGTGAAATTTATTCCAAATGTGTCCTGAATCTTAGCGAGTTTAGTACAGTTCGATCAAGAATATTGAATTCAAAGACAAGACAGACGCGGGTTATCCATTCAAACTGACCGAACTTAGACGCACACACACGTGTGCACGTAATTAATAGCAGGGGCGTTTTTTGCCTCCTGCGCGAGGAATAGAACCGCTCGTCCTTTTACCGCGGATATATTTCATCGTGCCCTGTCGCGTATTCGCGAACGATTCGCGAAATCCGCGCGACCGTTAGTAAAAAGAAGAGAACGTGCCATACGGGTCTACACGTGCCGCACGAAAACTCGTTCCACGAAGATGGAAACGGGTTTTATATCGCGTTCACCGTTTTTGCCGATCCGCGAGCGAGCGAGTCTTGACCTGTCTTACATCCTGTCGCCGCTCGAAATTAAGCGTATCTAAGTCATTAATCTGTAATACACGAAGCATTGGTGTTAACGTGGAATTACATGCCGTTTTATTTATATCCAGTCCTGGCTCGGGTTTCCCTCTTTACAAATTGAAGCTAATTCAAGTGCAGTTTCTTACGTTGAATTTGAGGGGCAAAACGACGAGGTAGAGACGCAACAGCGACAGACAACGAAGACCGGCTGGCGCGGAGGAAAAGAATCTTTCAGATTTCACGAATTTCGTCGCATCCAAATAAATTTCATCACCGGCACGCTTCGAAGAAACTAACGTCTCGATTAATGAGCACGACTGTTAGACTTTTCAACGAATACGTATCTTTATCTGAAATAAAAGGATTTGAAGCGGAGAACAATTTTTTTATAAAGAAATTATTTGCTCCATTTTGCATATTTGCCAAATCTAAAGAAATCTTTCCCCCTCTGCATGGCACATCACGTGTCCCTCATTTGCAAGATGTCTCGGCGATCTGCATTCTCATGAAACGCCCGCGTTTGCGTCCGCCAATCGCCGAAAAACGTCATCCTTCGGAATAAATCAGCTGCTTTCTGCCATAATAATCCAATAGTCAGCTTCGAAACAGCGTATCTCCGCGGCGGGTGCGCTCTTTAGCAATAGGGCAATCGGTCCGCACGAGAAGAATAATGATAACATACATGCTCACGCATAATGATAACCTGGCTGGCTAATGCGAATCATTGCGAATTACCTCGGATTATCTCAAACGCGAGCAATCTCTCAACGTCAAAAAGTACAGTGATCAGCGCAGACTTGTGATTAGAGGGAGGGAAAAAAGCTACTCCCCGAGTTTCCCGAGTTGGGATTACCTCACCGGCGGTACCGAAGGGCTTTATCTCTCGGAAATTTGCGAGACACTTGCCGCCACGACGCTTAACTTAAGCAGTATTAAATATCTCGTTAATTAAGCCGCGTAAATTCGAGTGAGATCAGGCCGAGAAGCGAGTCTGTTATCCGTCGTGAGTCGCGTCCTACCGGATTATGTAATGTTCGCGCGGAGAGTACTTTTATTATGTTCTTACAGCTCGAAACTTTATTATCCCTCGCGACAATGTCTCCGCGAAGGAAAGAAGAATCAGTCCTTCTGATCGGTCGAGGAGAGCTGAAGAGCAGCCGAAGGAAAGAGCGACAGGACGTGGAACCACTCGCGCCGTTCTATACGGAGTCCCGTGCGTAAAAGTGTGTCATTGTCCCGCACGCTATACATACGGATACCGTTCGTGCTGTGGCATTCAGCCGCTCAGAGAGAGCACGCGGAGCAGTCGCGATCGTCCCGAGAGCAACCTCACCTGAGAAACACACCTTTCGCCCGGCGCTCGCGCGGAAAAGGGCGTCCCCACCGCGCGAGGATTCCTGCTGGGCCGCGAAATTCAGGGAACTTGCTGCCACGTCTCGACGTTCGTTAGCGATGTAATACTTCGATCACCACGCGTACGCCAATGTTCAATTAATCCCCGAAATGAATTAAATTCCCGATCTCATTTCGACGAGAGCTGATGAAAAATCCAATCGGGAAACGTGACAAGAACGGCCAATTAGATGAGATATCTCGTGACTGTGACTGACACATTTCCCCGATCTCACGATCCCGCCTAGAGGCTTTCGTTCTTTTTTTCTTTTTCCTCCACGAAAATTCAATTGAGATTGATATTTAATTGAGCACGATCGAGAGAATATCGATTGATCGAGTTACGACAGAAATTTCTCGTGAGAGGGCGAGTAACTGAATTTAATGATAATCCGATTCACTAGGACTGCAAAGTCTTTTACTCGTGAGAGAGAGAGAGAGAGAGAAATTCGTCTTTCTCACGTTTGAAGGGATAAAATGCGTACATATGAAAGGGGATGTTTGCAGCGCTGTAGCAGTTGCATCATGAAAGTAATACCGGCTGCTCCTCCGAGCCGGTTGCTAATTCGTCGGGTAAAAGATCGCCTAATAACGCGACTTCGCTAATTAAAGTGCCTTTCGCAAACGCGAGCGTGCACCGTAAAGTTGAAGCCGAGTAACCTTCTGCGTCACGACAATCTTACTTTCGAAACGTCGTCTTCCAGGTAAAGAGAGTAGACGAAATTCCGGCCGAGACGAGAAGCGTACGCAAAGCGTTCGTAACTGTCCCGTATGTCCTTTCCGACTCGACGGGGGAGGTTCGACGACCTCGCGAATTGTTGTAAAACCGAAGTATATAATTAAGATATTTATCGGTACGAGCTTTTAGAAAACTGGATGGATCGAAGGTATCAGGGGGAAGGGAGGGCGCGTTTCTATGCAAATCTCGCGAAGCGTGTTCACGATTCACGCGCGACTCGACTATAATCAGATAACATTGGATCAACGGATTGAAAATCATCAATCGTATCTTCTCCCAATTTTAATTTTTACTATTTATGTTTATGTGTCGAGACGAACCGTGACAATGAAAATTATTCAACTATAGTTCAAGAAATATAGGCTATACTTCAATTTTTGTAAATTAATAGTAACAAAGTATGATAAATAACGTAAAACAACAGAATATATTTTTGCTATAATTTCATATCTTCTTTAATTTACAATTTCTTACTTCACAGTGTCAAAAGTGTAATCGACGATGTCTCTCGTATGCGAAACGGAACGTTTCTCTTTCAGGTACGACTTCGTGGTGATAGGAGGCGGTAGCGCAGGTGCGACCGTCGCTGCCAGATTATCGGAGGAACCGAGATTCTCGGTGTTGCTACTGGAAGCCGGGCTGGACGAGCCCACCGGCACTCAGATACCCTCGTTCTTCTTCAATTTCATCGGCAGCGACATCGACTGGCAGTATAACACCGAGACCGAGGACGAGGCTTGCCTAAATAAGGAGCAGAACCAATGTTACTGGCCAAGGGGAAAAGTTAGTAGAACGCGCGTCGCTGAGTAATACGCTAATTCCACCGGCGGGAATTCCTTACATTACAGTTGCGTCAGAATTCGAAAGCTGAAAGGTGTAATGTCGTTCGTTAAGAGCCAGGGCTTAATTAAACGCTCGGAGGGAGATGCTTATGAGCGCGAATTCGATCGAGGTCTATCGCTCGGAATCTATCGGCCGCTCGTAAATCTCAGTTTAATCTCGGCAGCATTAATGCGTTTGCGCGAAGTGTACGTATCCATTTGTCAAGTGGATCGCCGCGTTAAGCTCGAAACGAAACCGCAGGTTCTCGGCGGCACCAGCGTCATGAACGGGATGACGTACATGAGAGGATCGCGCAAGGATTACGACGACTGGGCCAGGCTCGGCAACGTCGGCTGGTCTTACCGGGACGTCCTCCCGTATTTCATAAGAAGCGAAGATAATCAACAAGTTAACAACATGGATTACGGCTATCACGGAGTCGGCGGCCCGCTCACGGTCACGCAATTCCCTTATCATCCGCCGCTGAGCTTCGCTCTCTTGGAAGCCGGTAAAGAACTCGGTGAGTGTAATTCAACGTGGGCGATATATATAATACCGTTTCCCTTATCAAGCAACATGTAGTAAAACAACATTCAAGCAAAGTGCTATTTGACGTTAAATTATGTTGTTTATTTTAAGCAAACCCAAGTCAGACAAACGCGTGTACAAGATCGAAAGAAATCTTCTTTCTCCGTGTATCTATTTAAGTCGCTCTTTTCATCGAGTTAACGATAAAGCTAATTAATAGTCATCGTGAATACAATTAATAATAATGCTAAATAAAGCATTTTCATCCGTCAGGATACGACACGGTCGATCTGAACGGACGGACGCACACGGGATTCGCCATAGCGCAGACGACGTCGCGCAACGGCTCGCGGCTGTCGACGGCGCGCGCCTTCCTCCGTCCCGCCCGGAATCGGCCGAACCTCCACATAATGCTGAACTCGACCGTGACGAAGATCCTCTTCGACGAGAGCAACCGGGCGGTCGGCGTCGAGTTTGTCTATGACGGGATGCTCAAGCGCGTGTCGGTGGCGAAGGAAGTCGTCGTGAGCGGAGGTAATTCTTTACCTCCCACAACCTGGCTGCAACGAGGAGCAATTTATGGACAAATGTTTATGAACGTTTAACCTGTCACAGATTGAGCGTCTCTCTTTCTCTCTCTCTCTCTCTCTCCCGGCACCTAGTTTCAGCGCGAGAGGCTAAAGGAGGAACGGCCGTGTTCCTTTCCACATCGAAGGTCGCGGGTAGATAGTAGAAATCTAAATTTAGAAACGCGTCCCGCGGAGGCGGTCTTAATTACTCATCCTTCCGCAAATTGTCTCCCCCCGGGGGAGGGATGGTAATCGCGCGTACGGTTTCTCTCGAACAATACGAATTGCGCGGCGATGTCCTCGGGTCGAACCGGAATTCGCAATCACACGAATGATGAGTTGATACGGCGGGGGGGGGGGG